GTAGTAACCCATTTTCTGGTGAGCATACTGCCACATCGGTGGGATGGTCACAAAGGTATATTGGAATAAGAAAACGTCATCCACATACGTGTTAGGCAGGGACCTAATGCGTATGTGCTTCTTGCCTCAGTGCTTTCCTAATAGGTTTTCACTGATGCTGGATGTCCTCATGCAGAGTGTGAGGAAGTCCAGCTTAGTTGAAGGGACTCAGTTTGCCTAAGAATCCAGGAAGAGCTTCAATGGCTGTCTGATTGACAGCCACTGTAAGCAGTTTTAGTGCTGTAAAGTAATCACTAAAGTTTTTCAAAAACGGCAATGATTTACAATGCAGGACTAAGTGGTACTGGGACACTGCAAGGAGACCACTTCAATGAGATGAAGTGGTCAGGGTGCCTATAGTGTCCCTTTAAACATACAAAACCTTTAAAAATAAAATAATGACAATATTGCTGTAATGCATGTATAGAGCTAAGCTGTTACCATGCGCCATCCCTCTGTCTCTTATTCAACAATCAGTCTGGATGAATAGGGAAATAAAACTGTGCCAGTTTATTAGGGACCCCAATTAATATCAAACAGATGCTCACACCTGTTAGACTAGTTTCAACCTGGACATAATAGAAGTATAGTGTGTTTCCTGAGGGCTTACAATCATTGCAGCAAGAGGACAAGTCTTGAATAAGGAATTTAAATTGTGATTGTTTCTGTCGTTCCACTTCTACAAACATTATTAGAGGCCAATGGAATACAGAGTTGTAGTGTTTGAATGATATGTTTTCGTTTTATGACAGTATTTCCACACTTTTTGTTATAGTATGGGAACAGAAGGGTGGCTTTTGCTGGCCGGGGCTGTTGGGAGTTAGGAGGCAGACAGAGCCAAGGGAGCTCTAGAGAACAAGGGCAGAAAATAAGTTACCTTCAGGGTTATTCACTTTCACATTGTGAACTGCTTGGAATTCAACATGAAATTGCAAATTTAAGGTCACAAAAGTTTTTCAATTCGGCTTAAAAGTGAATAACCCTGTGAGTTGTAAACGCCACAAATCATGCATCCAGAAATTTCATGGGACTGTTTTGTGACCTTGAGGGCCAATTATGTCAATAAAAAGCAGAAATGTGTGTGCTTGGACAATATGTGACAGTGCTTTTGATTCAAGGTAATTGTAGCAGAGCTCAGCTATTAAACTCAGTTTATCCATTAACTTACCACCTTTTTAATGCAAGATACAGTTTAGTGAATATATCCAGTCGGCCAAACACTAGTCGAGACTTGATAAAGGGTGAAAACACAAACACTTATTTATACAGACTAGATGTACATTTAACCTGCAGGGGGTAATTATGGTAACAAAGGTTGATCCCTCCCTGGCACAGTCAGGTATGGAATCCAGTCTCCCACCCACTGGGACCTCTAGTTCTTGGTGCGGTTTCCCCTTAGTTTAGATCACTCCCTTTCCACCAGACAGTTCAACCTCCCAGCTACCCTGTAACCATATAGTGCTGTGATAGTCCTCATGGTGTCCGATGTCAAATTGGTTGAATGTTTAACCAACCGAATAGAGCTGCTCATCGGAACACAGCAGCGGCCGGCTTGAGTTATTGCTACCTGGTCGAGGTCCTTACCTGGGCAATTCTGCTACAGGGTGGCTGGCATCTTGGATGCTCTGCTTGGCTGTGCATGCTGCGTAGTAAAGGAGACCATAGGGTGGTGAAAATATCCCTTTTAAAAGTGTAAAAGAGGTAATAATGTTTGGCTCTCCAGTGATTATAATTTGAAGTACTCAACCTCAGCAATCAGTTGAGTAAAAGTAGCATTGAGATGTGCCTCAAGTCAAAGTGTTTTTGGAGGCACTTAATGCACAGGGTGACAAGGCAATGTCTCTGTGAACAAAAGATGCATAGGAATGATGGTCTAACAATTTGGCTCACTTTAGAGTATAACATTTACTGAATGTATAGGTATCCCACTTCCACAGGTAGGCTAGGATATGGGGAGATGCACTGTGTACAGTTTAGTAACTGTACTATGAAACTCATAAGGTGACAAGTACCGCAGGTTTTCAAGAACATCAGCCGGCTCATAAGAATGGCCAGTGGAAAAACTAATTTCAACCAAACTGTTGCTGTTCCACTGATGTCCTTGTAGTTAATGTTGTCCATAAAACCCAGAGGCAAAATAGGGACTTTGTAGATTTGTAGTGAGACATATAAGCAAAAGAATTGCCTGGAGACTCATTACATTACAGAAGACCCTGTCTAATCTGTATGGAGCAAGTGTATGATTAAAGGACTCACTGACAACCATCACAGAATGAGCCATGAAGTCTCCACCCTTTAGTAGTTATCTCTAAAGGGTACATTAAAAGTACCATAACCAACTTAATGATCTGTAATGGTTATGGTGCCAGGAGTCCTCTGGTGCCATCCCACTGTTAAGAGTTAAGTTTTTCGAACAGTTTGCCACACACCTGGGTCCAGTGGCAGACTGAAAATGACCTCTGGGGCAAGATCTTCGGCAGGTCAGTCATGGACTGAAAGTCTGAGGCAGTCAGGGGCCTTAATGAACAGCCATGCTCTGACTTACGAGATCAAAGATCTCCCCAGCCAGAAAAACACAATTCCTCACATAGTACAGGATTGGGTTGCAGGGCTCCTGCAACTTATTGCACTGTATGAGATTTCCCCCCCATCTCAGTGAGACCTGGCAGTGATCCAGTTCTTGTCGGATCTCCTCCATGCTCTCCCATGTGGTGCTCTGTGTGAGGGGAAGAGGTGGAGTCCGGTGATGGGAAGTGGTGTCACTTCCTGCCCTCTCCTCTTGGTGTGTACTAGTGTCCTGTGTGCACTTTGAAGACAAGGAGCAGCCTGGCAGAGACATTACAGGTATTCTCCTTGTAGATATTGTCTACTGCCCCTATGTTACCCCTGCACCCACCTCAACTCCCATCCCTCCCTGTACCGACCTCACCTACCACGGCTTCTATGCACCCACCACAGCACCTAGTACAGCCCCTATCCCTTCCTGCACCAACTACAGTCCCTATCCCCCCACGCACACACTACAGCACCTATCCTACCTAGACGCACATACTGCAGCCTCTATATCCTCCACACAGTAGGGCCTCTATTTTCCATACAAACATACACCCACTACAGCCCCAGTGTCCCTCGGATGACCAGCACCCAGGAGCTTCAGTTACCTCCCCCCGGTCTGACAGGAAGCAGTTTGGCGATCCCTCCACGCATTTCCTGTGATACCGGGTGGAGGTTACTGAAGCACCTCTCCCTCGGTCTGCGGTTCAGTCACACTACCCAAGAGTGACAGGTTGGAGGGGAGCACTGTACTGTGCAGTCAGCGGGATCTTGTGCCGACAATGCCAGTGCGCCCTAAGATGGTCGCCTGTGCTGCCTTTTGGTAGCGCCGGCCCTGAGTTTTTACTAACGTGAGAATTCAAAGTGCATTACAAATTTAATGCCAGAGTGCTGAAATGCAAGCATTGCTAACCTAGAGAATTCTTGCAGTTTGGCTGTTTTCACCTTGAATTTGAAATTCACCTTGAATTCTCACTTTAGTGAATAAGTCTGTTAGAGATCATTTTTTTTACAGCTAGGCTATTTTGACTTTAAATTTGAAATTCACTTTGCATTCACATTGAATTCTCATTATTTAGTTAATAACCTTGTCAGTGAATAAATCCTAGCAGTGAAACTAACAATGCCAAACAGTTTACTCTTTTAGTCACTGCAGGGACTTATTCTAAACCAGAAATTGCAGATAAAGGAATAATTAGCAAATGTTCAATCAAAATAGTTTTGCTAGAAAAACTCCCCAGTTATTTTGTTTTTGCAATTCAGTCATGCCTGCTAACATTTAGATTTTAGTGAATAACTCTGCCAAAGTGTGCCTTTCCATAAGACTGCACTTTTGCGAATCTGTTTTCGACAGGCTTATCTGTTAAAGGGATTCTGAAGTGCCAGGAAAACCCTCCCTCGTGCTCCCCTCCCGCTGCGCTGAAGGGGTTAAATATTGTTTAGTCACTTACCTGAATCCAGTGCCAATGTCTCTCGTCGCTGGGTCAGGCTCCGCCCATGCTCCTCAATGGCCATGCTCGCATTAGGATTTCCCCATAGGAAAGCATTAGTTAGTTAATGCTTTCCTATGGGGAAGAATCTGACACTGGAGGTCCTAATGCAGAGCATGAGGACGTCCAGCGGCAGATATCGGACCAAAGGCACGTTTCGATTCAGGAAGCACTCTAGGTGCTGTCTGGTAGGCAGCCACTGCGGGCAGACTTAGCGCTGCAATGTAAACATTGCGGTTCTCTGGAAATGTTTAACATTGCAGCACTAAGTTTAAAAGGGAGTTTGCACCCAGACTACTTTAATGAGCTGAAGTGGTGTGGGTGCCTTTAACTGTGAATTGACAGTAATTCAAACAAGGTTATACTTAAAATATAAAATTTTGGTCAATTAAATCCTGATGGCAAATCCCATATGAAAATAGCAAATCTGGAATAACTCTCCAACTAAGCCATAGTCACAATTTGACTTTTTTTGACTTAGTAATGCTGTACGAATTTAATTAGCGTAGATTCAGAGTTTATGAAATTTCACATTTTCAGGAAACTAGTGTACATCGTTATGGAATTTGTTGCTGCTTTATAAATAATAAAAACAATAACATGAATCTATAACAATTCCAGTCTATTGCAGTCAAGCTGACTTGGGAGAATTTTCCAATTCAGCTATTGTAGCATAAAAAAAAGTAATTAATAATAACAATAATAATAATAATAATTGAATTTCTTTCCATATCACACATTAATTATTAGCCCTGCCAGACTGTTCCACTTTGCTGTGTCAGCTGTACAGTTTTTCACATACTGCACCACACCATAAGCCAAGCGCCCGGAACAAACATGGCGGCGCTGGCACCACCCTGCGCTCGTCATGTGACTCTGTTTTTTCCTCTCCCCCCCCACCTCTGGGCTTTCTGCGTCCTCGCTTTTCCGCTTCCCTGTCGCGTCGCAAGTTATCGCGAGAAATCCAGAGAAGGGAGAGAGAGGTGTAGTTGCTGTGGCCGAGGAGAGTCGCTGAGCTCGGCCGGAAGAAGCAGCACAGAGCCAGTAAAGGGGCCCCAGCTCTGAGCCGCCCTCCCTGCACACCTCTCCCACCCCCCACTCTCAGTCTGAAAGCCATCCGGGCGACCTGGATACCCGAACACCGTGAGCTCGCCCTCCCATCATCCCATCCCCCAACTGGGTGAGAGCTCCGCCATCAGCCCCTCTGGGTGGGGAAGGAAGCCATAGGGGGGTCTGATTGTCTCACACTACGGCCATGATCCAGACCTCGACTGGCTAATCGGTATCGGTAAGGGCTGCCGCATCGATTATCGCCATCAGCATAACCGGGGCAGGGGGGAGGTGGTGGTGGTTAATCAGGGGTGGGGGATGGGGTGTATTTACCTCCTCTCTCTGTCCATGGCTCATCTGACATTTCTAACACTCAGTAATATCACATCTCGCTTATTCACTAAACTGCGAGTTGGATGGCCGTGTCCTAAAATTGGGGCAGAAATAGCTGAAGTGGACAATTTCTAGCACTCCAGTAAAGAGAGAGAGAGAGATTGGATAACTTTTATAACCTGAGTTTTTGTTTTTTTTAAATTATTTATTTTTTTGTTGTCACATTTGTTTTTAAATTCTATAGTGAAGGTTTAGTGAATAAGCTATATATATATATATATATATATATATGTGTGTGTGTGTGTGTGTGTTTGGTTTGTGTTTTTTTTAACCTTTTTATTGGGTTTCTCTGCTGCTCTTGTTGGCCAGATTGATGCCAGTGCATGATCCACTTTAGGGATCTGCATAAATGATAAACAGGGTTTTGCAGGAAAAAAAATAAATTATGCTGATCAATATTTAATGTCTCAACATTGGGAGGAGCAGAAACACAATCTAAGGTTTCTCTATTCCTAATCTCACCTCCTTTGAGACGTAATATTGATGTTTTTATGCAGCATCATTGGGTTTTATGAGCCACATAGTAATATTTTATAAGGGAATGGTAGTAAAACATTTTAAATGTCTAATGATCTGCATGTCTTGTTATTTAGTAATATCTAAGTACTCAAGAGGCATGTTTGTTGCTATGTGTTTTATTTAATATTTTTTAAATTCTATTTTTTTTTCTCCTGACTTTGTTTTTTTTTTTTTTTAAATACACAGATTGTTCTAGTTTTCATTGGATTCTTGCATTGCAGTTTACAACATGTCTGATTATTATGCTTTATTTCAAATCTTTATTTTTTTCTACTTTTTACTAAAAATGTACCATACATTACTGCACTGACTGTACTGTTATTTATGACTTCTGACACACACAGAAGGTTTAGATAGCTGGATTGCTTTCGGGTGCCTATTTCTGGTCTGTGAAATGTACACATTTTGACAGCAATATAGCACACAAACTACTAACACTAAATTGTAGCTAATTAAAATCCAAATGGCAAAATTGAGGCTTGAATTGTGAAGCTAGAGTCAGTGCATTATTACAGATCAGCTATTTATGCCTCAATTTTATTACTCCGATTTGAATATGCTACATTTGTGGGTTTAGTGAATAAACCACAGTGCAGATTTTTTTTTAAAGTTTATTATGCAGAATCCACGTTATTGTGCGAAGGGTTTGTTTTCCTGCTGAAGCAGATATTTTAATGAACTGTAAAAATAGAATTTTTAGATTCTAAGCTTGTTTGTACTGGGCCCCACTTCACTTACTGTTCCAGTATGTTAATCATGTTTTGCTTGAATGTAGTGTCTGTCTTGTTTACATGTTGTACAGCGCTGCTGCATATGTTAGTGTTATATAAATAATTGTAATTTGAAAAAAATGTTTATTAAATACTCACCATGGAGTGTCCTTGTTTTAGTGGTGACAAATTTGTAGGATTTTGTGTACTGTACACTTGTGCTGTTAACACTTAATGTGGATAAAGCCTACTTGGTTATTGTCATGAATACACGTATACCATTATAAAGTGTATATGCTGTCTCTGACTGCTAACCTTGTTGGTGTACTATATGTGTTTTAATGCCTTTATGACTGAAATCTGCAACATAATAATATATAGCAAAATCTGTCTTTCTTTACTAAAATGCAGGTTGTGAGTGCTATGATTATTGATTCATTTTGGTTATTGTTGCATCTGAAAGAGGTATATTATTAAGCATATATTTTATTCGCTGTCAATGGTTAAAGTTGATGGCACATTGCAGGTTTTGGTTTTAAACTTTTTCTTTTGTTCCTCTATTTCTCATTGGTTCTTATTAATTTTATTATTTGTAATATGTATCATTTTTACTTATATACACACACAAACCCCTAGGGTAGGCAACCTTTGGCATTTTAGATGTTGTGAACTGTGTGCTGGAGTGCTGAGGGTTGCATACCACTGACATAGGGAATACATTTTTTTTTTTTTTTTTTTACCCCTCATGAGGATTGTGATACAATTGATCAAAAGAATCCAACGGGAGTACAAACTGCAGACATCATGGACAGAGGAGAACAAAATGGAGGCACTCGGGTGTTGAAATCCAGCGTAAAGCAGAACCTTTTGTAGATAAGTGGCAGTGGAGGGAGCAAACTCCCAAAGATACAAAGGGCATGAGGGCATTATGGGCTGAAAGAAAAAAACAAAAAACATGGCAGTGCCACTTCAATGGCCTATCTAAACAAGTTCACACAAATCTTGCTTTAATATATAAAAACTAACAGGGTTATTCACTAAGCTGGGTGTTGACCGGGGAATATACATTTATATCCAAGTAGCCAAATTAGAAATAATATTTAATCACAGCTATTTTCGTCAGCTAGTCTGTTTTGACTTAAAGGACCAATATAGTGCCAGGAAAACATACTCGTTTTCCCGACACTATAGTGCCCTGAGGGTGCACCCACCCTCAGGGTCCCACTCCCGCCAGGCTCTAGGGGGAGGAAGGGGTTAAATCTACCTCTTTCTCCAGCGCCGAGGTGGGGGACTCTCCTCTTCCTCCATAGTGACGTCGTCAGCTGAATGTGCATGCGCGGCAGGAGCCGCGTGTGCATTCAGCCAGTCCATAGGAAAGCATTCACAATGCTTTCCTATGGACACTGGCGTCTTCTCACTGTGAAAATCACAGTGAGAAGCGGGGAAGCGGCTGTCAATGAGACAGCCACTAGAGGCTGGATTAACCCTTTTATAAACATAGCAGTTTCTCTTAAATGGCTATGTTTACAGAAAAAAGGGTTAAACCTAGCTGGACCTGGCACCCAGACCACTTCATTAAAGGACCACTATAGTGCCAGGAAAACATACTCGTTTTCCTGGCACTATAGTGCCCTGAGGGTGCCCCCACCCTCAGGGTCCCCCTCCCGCCCAGCTCTGGAAGGGTGAAAGGGGTAAAAACTTACCTTTTTCCAGCGCTGGGCGGAGAGCTCTCCTCCTCCGATCCTCCTCTTCTCCTCCCCGTCGGCTGAATGCGCACGCGCGGCAAGAGCTGCGCGCGCATTCAGCCGGTCACATAGGAAAGCATTCATAATGCTTTCCTATGGACGCTGGCGTGCTCTCACTGCGAAAATCACAGTGAGAAGCACGCAAGCGCCTCTAGTGGCTGTCAATGAGACAGCCACTAGAGGAAATAGGGGAAGGCTTAACCCATTCATAAACATAGCAGTTTCTCTGAAACTGCTATGTTTATGAAAAAATGGGTTAACCCTAGCTGGACCTGGCACCCAGACCACTTCATTAAGCTGAAGTGGTCTGGGTGCCTAGAGTGGTCCTTGAAGCTGAAGTGCTCTGGGTCCCCATAGTGGTCCTTTAACATTTGCAATTTCCTGTTTGGTGAATATCCCAGTAAGATATGATTCAAAAGATAGAAATTGCATACATATAAAGGGTTACTTTATGTACAATAAAAACTTTTGTATTGTGCAAAGGTTATGGTGCAGGGAGGACGCTGTACCCGGTATCTCTGCTGCAAATCTCAGACGTCAATAGGAATCTTCTACTTCTTCTTTTGCCATCCTAAATCAACATGTTCAGTTCCTTTAAGTATATACAAAATAACAAATGCGCAAAACTGCATGAAGAATAGGTTTAGTCATTCTTGGAACGTTGTCACACTAGTCCTGAACTGTGTACAGTGGGATATTACACAATTCTTCAAGATGATTCTGTAACTTTTTGAGTGCTGGAACAGAAAATCAACTTCACATTTTTCTCCAGAACAGCAAGTAAAAGTTCAGTGGTGTTTAGATCTGCTAGTGATCGAAGTAATGGGAGGCATAGACTCCAGCGCGTATTACGTCATTCTCATCCTGTAATGAGAAATCTGTCTTGGCATCTTAAGGTGCATCTGGTCCTGTAAAATAGCCTTATTAAGTGTTCTTGCATAGCAAGACCACTTAATGCTATCTCACATATATATTATTCATATTATAGCCAAATTTACCACCCTAACTCCTCCCACAGTTTTTACACTACATAGACCGTAATAGACTGAAACATGCGGATTGTTCCTGATCGGATTGCTATTACTTTGTGGAACGTTTCGCCGAATGGTTCACGGAATATCGTCATTCTTGTGGCGAACTTGGTCCCATAGGAATGAATGGCAAAGCTAGAGTGGGAGCTGGCAAAAGCTGAAAAATCAGGACATGATTTCTAAACTGCCACCACTCCCTCATTTTCAGGCCCACCTACACAAACCTTATATCAAAACGTTCAGCTATCCCTGCTGACACTAAACATGTCAACGGCTAAGCCGTAGTCCTGATTTCACAATATGACCATTTGTTTGCGACTCACGCCGTCCATTGACATTCATTGAAACTCTACTCTACAAGCTCAAACTTGAAGAGCAATTTCTAAACTGTGACTGTGCCTTCATTGTTAATATTTCAGAGATATACTATGCATCAAAATGTAGGTCTGGGTCTTGTGATTCTCACAATATAAAGCTCTTCGCTGTAGGAGTTATAGTTTTTAAAATACGACCATTTGAAGATGGCAACCGCCAAAATACTCTGACCTGTGCCAGGCTGGAGCAGCAAGTGATGTCATAGACAGGGCCTTTTGTACACCTGCTAATGTTTTTATAAATGTATGGTTTAATGTAACTGTGAAGCACTTTGGGCAACAACGTTGCAATTAAATGTGCTGTATAAATAACTAATAAGTTACTCTGCCCACTCCAGTTGTAGGCTACTGGTGGAGGCAAGAACACTTCACACAATTTCCCCAGAAATTGTAGCTTTTCTAGTATCTTTTGTTGTTGTTTGCTTGTGCAAAGCAATCATCACAGTTAATGACTCATTTGATATGAATTCCAGTTGCATTATGGATTCCACACCTTGTTTAATTTAACACTGTAATGTTGTCCCTCTGCATAAATTGCAATAATTAACATTGCAGGGCTTAGGTGACAGGAGCACTGCTCTCAGACCACTTCATGACATGATGGTCTGGGGCCTAGAGTGTTCATATAACTTTTAATTTTTTTGGCCAAAGGCATCTTTTGGATTTCCAATTTGTCTTGATGTACATAAGAACATACTGTTTTTGATTGCTTTGGGATTCAGGCGTTGTGTTTTTGTCCAGGTTATGTGTCCTTGTGTGTTGACTTTGGATACGTTCAATCTGTCGGTGGCAGCCCAGCCATGCAATACAGTTTTGTTTTCTAGATTTATTTATTCATTTTTCCAGGCCAGAGAGGAGCTAAATCAATGTTGTTACTTTCTAACTCTACCTACTGTGTTGTTTACTAGTTATCTTGTGAGAATGTAATTATTCCTGTTAATTATTGAAATGTGACCACTCCTCTCTGCATATGAAGTTTGTTCATCTGTTGTCTGTAATTTATATTTCGAATTTACAGTTTTTGTTTAGTTTGTGTACTAGCTACTAGGCCTCTTTGACATTCTTAGTTGCTGTTTGTATTTTCAAAGTATCCCGAGGCAATATGGTACATTTTGAACACCTGATGCATACTGCCAATTGGCCATCAGTTTAATTTGACTCATATTTATTGATTTATTTACCATTTTCGTTCAGGAATTATGATTTAAAGACAATGTTATCTATTTGATGCTGAATGGTTGGCAGCTGTGTGTGATTACAGCACTCTCAGTATGTGTATGTGTGTCTGTATGTATTCTATGCACAGCATTTAGGTCCTTGTCTAAAAAGATTAAAGGAACACTAACGTGTATTCCTAATGCAAGCCTATATTCCTAACGTTTTAGTGTGCGATTCCGTATTTTGATTAAGCTTCTCTATATGAAAGAAAAGAAAAATGTAGAAAGGGGTTTTACTCATCCAGTTCCTGCGGCTGCCTCATCTACCTTCTGTGACATCCCGGACAAGAAGGGAGTGCTGCGCTTGTCCAGTCAAATGCTTTTCATAGGGAATCAGTGAATCCAATGCTTTCTTATAATCAGCATTTGATGATGTTCAACATTAAAAGAACACTATAACGTTAGGAATACAAAAATGTATTCCTAACGTTATAGAGCCCTAGTCTCCTAAACGGTGACTAGGGCACTGTTCTGTGGCGAATAAATGGTTAATTAAGCATTGGTTTGCTTACCTTAATCCAGCGCCAGGCTCCTGCCGCACTGGTGACCTCTCCTCCATCGACGTGCACTCCCAAGTGGAGCCCAAAGCGCGTGTGCATTCAAACCCGCCTCTAGGAAAGCATTACCTATTGGGATCTGTTTTGACGCTGGACTCCGTGAGGACGTCCATCGTCAAATAAGTGCGATTTACTCAGTGTAAATCGCTAGAAGCACCTCTGGTGGCTGTCAAGGAGACAGCCACTAAAGCCTGGATTAACCCTGCAGTGTAAACATTGCAGTTTCTCTAAAACTACAGTGTTTTCTATTGCAAGGTTAAGGGGACAGGAACAATGCACCCAGACTAAAATCAGTAAAGTGGTCTGGGTGCCTGTAGTGCCTTTTTAATCCATCATGTCTTTTTGTCACTGCTGTACTCTGGCGCATGCACATGACTCAATTATATTTTATGAGACCATGAGATCTTTTCTAGAACTACTAGTACAGGGCACACCTGTGACTAGTATTGGCTGCTGAAAATGGACAAAAGCTGGTGGTAGAAGTTTTTCTTTTTTTCCAATATTGTAAACCTTAGCTTGGCACATAAGACAAGTCCCTGCTTTGCCTTTTATCTTTTGGACACATTTAGATAGTGAATTTTGTCTTTATGAAATACTCAGATATGACAGACTCTTTAAAGGAACAAATGTGTATTCCTAACCCTATAGTGTTAAAAACACATTTAAGCCCCCAACCTCACCTTAAAGGATCACTATTGGGTCAGGAACACAAATGTGTATTCCTGACCCTATAGTGTTAAAACCACCATCTAGCCCCCCTGGGCCCATCATGCCTCCATAAATATAGCAAAATCTTACTTTATTTAAGCCAGAAGCTGTATCTCTGCATGCGGTTTGCCTAAAAAACAAAACAAAAAAAACAAGCAGTCTGCTGACATCATCAGAAGTGGTAGCGTGATCCAATCACAATGCTTCCCCATAGGATTGGCTGAGACTGACAAGGAGGCTGATCAGGGGCAGAGCCAGCATGATTCAAACACAGCCCTGGCCAATCAGCATCTCCTCATAGAGATGAATTGAATCAATGAATCTCTATGAGGAAAGTTCAGTGTCTGCATGCATAGGGAGGAGACAGTGAATGTTTGGATGCATTTTAGGCAGCCATGACCCAGGAAGGATCTCTAACAGCCATCTGAGTGGCCAGTGAAGTTATCACTAGGCTGTAATGTAAACACTGCATTTTCTCTGAAAAGACAGTGTTTACAGCAAAAAGCCTGAAGGTAATGATTCTACTCACCAGAACAAATTCAATAAACTGTAGTTGTTCTGGTGACTATCGTGTCCTTTTAAATAAGTAGAAAATTTATCTTTTTTAATACAATGCAGCTTGGATCTGCTGACCCTGGGCCTTGTCCCCGATCCACTTTCTTGGCTGAGATCACCAGCATTGGTGATCTTAGCCTATCCAGTGCTTTCTCATGGGGAATGTTTAGCGTTTTCGGGCAGAGAGTGGATATTGTGTAGCACTGACCCAGGAAGCACCTCTATTGACTGCCACTGGAGGTGTCCCTAGGCAGCAATGTAAACACTGCAGACTACTCACCAGAACCACTACATTAAGCTGTAGATGTTCTGGAGACTGAAGTGTCCCTCTAAGAACCACTGTTATGTACACATCCCAATGTCGGCTTTCCTGTGGCCTAAAAAAAATAAATGTGAAATAGAATTGTTATTCTTCTAAAGCGATTCTACATATTTTAGCATTTTCATTTAATTTTCTCAGTTGTTTATCACAGTGAGAGTTACTGCATGTTGATGCTATGCGAAAGATGACTTTCTTAGCATCCCAATGCTAAACTCTCATTTAGTTATTATTGAGCTTGTCTGTGTTTTCAGGAGTTATTTGTACAGCCTGTGATGTAGAACTGTACAGCTTTGTTCCATTTATCCATGTCAAGGGGTACTGCAATGTTAATTCTCTTGTTATGTGGCTGGCTGCCTCTAGCATACATGAGTGGAAAATTATACCGAGAGAAGAGTAACCGTTTGTTAAAGTGATAGATTTTTATGGCCTGTGGCAAGCTGTTGGAATAGCATCTAAAGTGTGAGATGGAGTCAAGGCCTTCATCTTGAAATATCAGATCTGCCATAAACAGTAATGGAAAGACATTACAAATAATGTAAACTTGCAATTCTTATACTATGTAAAATCATTGGACATTCCGGTGTGTATTTGGTGATAAGCCGCTCTTGTTGATTATTGGCTTGATTTAAAAATGGATTCTATACTGTTGAGTCTGTAGTTTAGGTTTGTCATATATTTATATCTTTTGGGAACCAACCAGACATGTTGATCAAGATAAATGTTACTTCTGTCGTGTGGTTTGCTGTATCCTGTTAGTATTGTTTTAAAGGATACTCTAAGCACCATAACCACTAGGGTGCTCCTGCTGGCGCATTGCATCAGTTTACACTCTCAGCCAATGAATCATTTCACAAAATGAATGTTGCTAATGCCACAGTATAAACATCTCATTGGCATATCCTCAGAATGTAAGCTCATTGAGCAGGGCCCTCCACCTCTCCGTTCCTGTACGTCCATTGTACAGCGCTACGGAATCTGATGGCACTATATAAATAATAAAATAATATCCTTATTTACCAGTAATACCACAGGAGCCTGAGTCAAGTTAATGTCAAACTGTTCATAAGCAGTGCAACAGCTTACCATGGGATGGCGCCTGGGTATTCTTGCCACCATAACTACATTCACTGCTTTGAGCAAGACTTTGCAATTACTTTTATAAAGTATAATTTCCATGTTTAGTGAATCTACAGCTATTGTGCAAGATAATTAAATCCTGGTACACCACTCCTTTGAGGCTCAGAGTTGAAAAAGTGGCATTATATGTAGTCAACATCAGTCAGCAATATTTTTGGTAATATATTTTTGTTTAATACAGACTCTGGTTTCCTCTGTAGTACACACTACTTGTGGGAAGCTGTTCATTTGCACTTTGCTCCTATCCTCAAGAGGCCAGGTCTCCATAATTTTGCATTAGCATAGGTGATTTAGTTAACATTGCCAGGAGGTCAAGGATGAGGGCTGTAGCCTAGGGCAATTTCTTATGACAAATGTTGTTTTCCAGGTTCCATAACAACGCAGAGTTTCCACAGTAATCATGTTTGAGCACAGCTAGATTCGTCAGAATGGCAGTGACTGATAATCCAGTATCCTACTCAAACAGAGCTATGCTTATGTCTTTTGGGGGAAAACCGATTTTTAGCACAAATTCTTGAGGCCCAGGGTTGATAAATACAGCCTCTGGGTGTCTCCTACAGACCATATTGTATTCTAGTCTAGTTTCTTATATTTTAAGGTTCCAGGTGCAAGTGAATCTCTTTGTTGTACATGTAACCGTTGTACTATAGTGCTAAATACTTGTGTCCCTCATTTCTAAGTGAATGATTTTCTGTTCCCATTGAAAATACTTGTATTTTTTTTCTTCTTCCCCCACAAATTTGTCACTTCGGATGTATGGGGGGAAAAAGGGTGCTAATTGAGCCTTTTTAAATGAATTTATTTTATTTTTTTGGGAGAAAATTTCCAATCATGGTAAGAGCATTATTCGGTGCTTTCCTATGGGGATGCTGGAGGTCCTCGTGTATAGCGTGAGGACATCCAGCGTTGTTTAAAACGCTTTGTATTCTAAGAACACGGAAGTCCCTCTAGTGGCTGTCTGATAGACAGCCACTAGAGGAGGACTTAAGCCTACTTCAGAAGGATATTGATATCTTAGAGAGGGTTCATGAATTACAGGATAACCGTTACAAGGAAAGGTTAAAGGATCTTAACATGTATAGCTTGGCGGAAAGACGAGACAGGGGGGATATGATAGAAACATTTAAATACATAAAGGGAATCAACACAGTAAAGGAGGAGACTAGGGAGGAGGACATAGTCTTAAATTAGAGGGACACAGGTTTAAAAATAATATCCGGAAGTATTACTTTACTGAGAGGGTAGTGGATGCATGGAATAGCCTTCCAGCTGAAGTGGTAGTGGTTAACACCGTAAAGGATTTTAAGCATGCGTGGGATAGGCATAAGGCTATCCTAACTATAAGATAAGGCCAGGGACTAATGAAAGTATTTAGAAAATTGGGCGGACTAGATGGGCCGAATGGTTCTTATTTGCCGTCACATTCTATGTTTCTATGTTTAAGGTAATTATTGCAGTTTATAAAAACTGCAATAATTACACTTGCAGTGTTAAGGGTGGTGGGAGTTGGCACCCAGACCACTCCAATGGGCAGAAGTCTGGGTGCCTGGAGTGTCTCTTTAATAAATACAACAGTAAGTTTGCCAATTAATACCAGAGTAACCGTGTGTGTAGTGTGAGAGAGAGTTTAGGGAGTAGGATAGGGGCTGTGTTTTGTGGTGGGAAGCAGCTTTTTATTATATTTATTTTTATAATATTTTATTTTAAAGTTTATTCCCCCATCCATGTTTCTTACCTGGTCAGGGAAATGGGTAGTCTTCAACTTTCCCTTGTTATCTATAATTGTTGGTGGAGAGCAATCTTAATGTGTGTAGTTTATACTGTGGTGTGTTTTATAAATGGATTGAGAGCAGAAATGAATAAACATGTATCTCTTCTTATTTGGTGGGTAGACCTGAAATGCCTCTGAGAATACATTACTCATCTGCATATACCATCTGTTGCCATAGATGACATTACATCATAATTTATCCGCTCTACAGATATAGGACAGAGAAAATCCTTTATGGTGCTGAAGTGCTTTGCTTATCTGTTTTCAGTTCTTTTATTACAGATTTAATGTTCTACCACCTTTATATGACATATTGTGATATAGCACAAGGTAATTGGATCTGTACGGTATATCCTAGGGCAGTGGTAGGCAACCTATGGCACATATGCCATGCACGACACTCAAGGCTGCCCGAGCCAAACAGGCTCTGGCCTGTCAGGAGTCCCAGTGAAACTTCAGATATACGAAAATGTGGTGAAGGACATTCCTCAATTCATGTATTGCAGCACTTGTGAATGGGAATCCATACAGTAGTAGAGCAGCTCGCACTTGCTGTTGCAGCTCCTGTCCTTGACCTGTAACTGGCCAGCCTGCTCCCCACTAGAACCCAGGGAAGCCATCCACACTGCTAGATATACACAGAAATGCAGAATCACAGCGCACACACAAACATACACACAATCTGCACAAACTCAACACCACTAACAATCTACATACATGCACAGAACCCTACATGCAGCCTCTCACATTTAATACCCCAAACATATACACACACTACCAAACACACAATGTTACAAATCCATCCCCACTCAATTACTCAAGCAGCCCTCTTAGCCCACATTCATAGGTACACAATACCACAAACTACTCATGGACATATGCTATGGGACATCACATTAGGTTGCCCACCCCTGTCCTAGGGTATGTAAAATGAACCATCCACTGCTAATTACAAAATAAAAAACAATGTTTAGTAGATATACCTCAACTGAAAACATGCATGCGTTTAATTATGCATTTTTTTTTTCCATTGGAGGTATATATAAAAAGAGCTTACAAAAACTGCAGATATTCCGCCCAGACTTTCTGTGGCTGTCCAATCACAGACTTCCCAATGCAGCTCAATGAGAAGTCTTTGCGAGGCAGGTGCTCTGGGCAATTGCTGCCTCTTTAGTTTAGCTCGACTGAGCTAAACAAACCAGGAGGTAACATCGCCCATTGTCTGATTTGAAAGGCAAGGGGGTATAAGCTTGTAAATTTATAAAAGTGTACCTTTTTATTGAAATCAGCACTTTTTGCAAAATGAAAAAAAGGCACACACTCTTCAATCATAAAGCATGCCAGCAAGCTTAAGTGCGTTAGGGGTCTGGAATGTACCTTTTAAGGTTGAACGTTTATTTCGAAATCAAATTTATACAACAACTAATGGCCATTATCAGTCAAGAAGAAATTTACAAATAACTTTATAATTAAATTAAGTAAAAGTCTCCTACCCTTTCCCCATCAGCCTGACTGGAATTATTTGTAGTTTCAAAGTGCATCATATGTAAATCATCAACTTGAGTAAATTGTGTAGTCTTAGAGAGTAGTTGGTAAAAACTATTTGTAGACTTGTAGGTCTCAATGACTTTTAATAATGGATCTAGAAAATTAATTTAAGGGGACTGGTATTGAAGGAATTATCCTGAGATTAGTAATAAATCACAAGCCTGATTTTTTTTATTTTTTTTTTAATCACAAACCAAGGTAGGTGAATGTCAGATAAAATTAATTTGTTCCCATAACCTCATTAAAAAAAAACTTGGAGTACTGCAACCGGCCTACCTGGATAGTGGAAACAAATCACCCTTTGTATACAGAGGAGATCTAAGACTGGAGCAGGGATGCACCTTTAAATGAGTCGTGGGGAAGCCCTGCCAACATTTGTATTTTTAAAATATTTATGTGGTTATACCTGCTTTTCTTTTTGTTGCTGTCTTTGAAAGCTATTAGATTAAAAGTATTTTGTAGTGAGATTCCCCCATACATCCCCCATATGAGTCTTTAAGAAAATTGAGTGTAATTAATATTTAATACTGGCACCTTAGTTTAGCTGACACTGTATTCCGTTTATATTGAAAATATTAGATGAAGATAGCTTGTGGAGACATGTTTTACTATTAATAACATACAAAATATTGGCCCCAGCAGCACCCTATAATGTATGCATGTTCAGGTGAGTGCAGCCCTCTTGGTTATATATAGTTATATAAATAGGATCACACCTTCACATGTGTAGCTTTTTAGAGTACCTCTATGCTAAAGAATGATGGCTTATTGCATCTATTTTGACACGCAAAAGCAATAAATAAAAAAATGAAAACTTAGAGTATATTTTAGTATGGTATTTGAGGGTTATCTGAGGTCTAGCTGGCTCATTGTCATTCATTCTTGCTTATAACTCTATTGTGAAAGAAATAACACAGAATATTTTTTGTTTTTCTTGAGACTTGCAATTATAATATGCTTGTATATGGTGGTATGCATCTCACATGTAAGAGGAAACAACATTTCAAACTGTGTAATATTAGTATACGTGGTTTTTTTTTTGTTTTGTTTTTTAACCAAGACTTTCCTTTCCTTTTAGAAAAACAAAAAACTTTATGGTATCTTAAATGGAAATATACAGTTTATACTTTTTAATATATATGCCCCCTTATTCCTTTCTGTGTGAAGCATTCTACCTCAGTTGCTGACAGTCACTGGGCCTGGTGTCATGAATTTTGCTACAGAGTGGCCGTAATACACATTTTTTAATTTGAGGTGGCAGTCTGTATTAAACACATGTGCACAGATAGAATGATACCTGTATTACAAACCCATGTAAAATCATCACTCTGGCTACGGAAAGGAACATGGTGTTTATTGAAGAAAAGAGAGATTTTTGGAATAGATATTGAGTTTCCCTATTTTTGCAGAACCTAACTGCTAACTAAAAGTTAGTTATGGATTGGACTTTTTTTTGACAGTTTTTTTTTTAAATTTTCTTTTTAATGTAAATACTTCATCAGGCTCTTACAATGGCAAGTATGCTTTTGGGAAGGTGCACAGCAGTAAACCACTGGACAGAAAACAGAGTAGTTGATGAATGTTTCCAGAACCCTATAATGGTTATTCAGTATTATGAATCCTTTATATTACAATTGTGTGGTGTGGGGTTTTTTTTTTTTTTTTTCTTACTTGGGTCTTATAGCAGCAGTTTCTAGAAGTGTGACTTTCTATAGGCTGTTATGCCCATACTACATAGCGAGTAAATTAGTGGGAGGCGTGTATACTTTGCAGGATTTAGAAACCATGATTTGACCTTGATTTTAATTAAAAAAATTCTCATTGCACATTGAGAGCCACAGCCACTCTCCCAACATGTTTGTTACGAAATAGGGGCAGCACTATAGTTGCTAATGATGTATTGTCAGATTGCGTAATGTCAGTTTTATTGGATAGTGGGACTCCGTATATGTAGCAAAGGTGTGACTACTGCTGTCACGAGAATATCAAGATATTCAAATTTATACTTTTTAATATCAAGCTTCTGACTCAGTTTAGTTTTATTGATTTTTAGTATCATACCAGCCCAGGTGTGTGTTTTATGTAGCCTGTTACTCAAAGTTATTATGATTTTTTTATTTTTTATTTTTATTTTTTACAACTTTTTAAAGAATATGAAATAACCCGGTGCACTATAACCACTTTTCTTTTGCAGTGATTAAGTCTGTGATAGTGTACACAGTCCTATCGAACTTAGGCTTGCAATTATGCTAGAATAATATGTATAATTTTTTTTTAATGCACAATTCAAGACCATGTCAACTCATTGATGATCATACCTTGATTGAAATGTATGTGAATAAAAGTGCACCAACACTGTATGTTAAGACAATGAATTGTTACTACTCTTCAGCTCTGAGGTTTGTCATAATGTTGGATGTCAATTGAGAATCTATAAAACTTCTGTGGTTATCAGCGTGCTAACTTTTTTTTCTACTTTTTTTTTTTTTTGTAGACCTCCTTGAGGGACATCTTGCCACCATAGGATCTTCTACATGCAAGAGAGATTATACCTTTTATATAAGCGGATATGAAGAGTGAGGTTCCTTCAGATGCACCGAAGATACAGGAAAACTTAAAAGGGGTGCTCCTAAACCCTGAGTCTATTGGGGCAGCCAAGAATTTTCCAGCAGAGGTGGAGATGATTGCTAGCAAGGTGGGCAATGAGTTCTCACACTTATGCAGTGACTCTAGTAAACCACAGAGAGACTTGGGTAGCAGTGGACCCGAACAAGAGAAAAACCTTGTGGTGAGGAAAAAGCGAAAAAGCCAGCAGGCTGGCCCTTCTTATGCTCAAAGCTGTGAGGTTAAGGAAAACCAGAGACTGTTAGAAATAAGACTAGAGCCTCAAAGTAATGAAGACAACGATTCTTCCTTCAGTGATTGCGTATCTTCACCTTCATCTAGCTCTCATTTTGGAGACTCTGACACTATGACATCTGATGAGGACAAGGACATTCCTAGGAGATTCTCTCCTTCAGGGGTTAACACAGCATCTAGAACTCAAAGTGCAAGGGCTCAGAAGTGGCCCCGTCCTCAGACAGACTCTGTGCCTACTATGCTTATGAAGCGGCCTTGTTATCAAGTGAGCAGTCTACGGAGGTCTGTGCACCGGAAGAGGATTGTAAAAAATGGCTCTACTCAGAGGACACAAAAACAAAAAGAACGGATATTGATGCAGAGGAAAAAGAGGGAGGTGTTGGCAAGGCAGAAATATGCTTTGCTGCCTAGTTCCAGCAGTTCCAGTGAGAATGACCTTAGCAGTGAATCTGCCTCTAGTTCATCTACCGAAGGAGAGGAGGATATATTTGTCTCTCCGGGGGAAAATCACCAAAATGGTACAACACTCCCCTCAGGTAAAAACATGAAACATCTCACCTCTTGTGAACACATCATAAATCAAGAGGGAAACTGCTGTATATGCTTATTGGTGGTAATGTTTAGGTTTGATCAATCACTTTGCGCATGAGTCCTTATTCCATTTAGGCACCATATTACATTTACAGGGCTTTATCTAATCCCAGTGGTACAGTTGTCAGAAGTTTGACTTAATGCCTTAAATGTGTTGTTTGTGTTGCTTTGTGTCCCTTGTATAACTCTTGTTTTTCCTCTAACCATTTGCCACCTATCTATTGTTGTAAATTGAGAAGGTGTCGTAGTATAAAATGCAGTGCAGTGCTAGAAATGGTTTTATTGTTTGTTTTTTTCTCTAAATGGGAATTGTGGAGAGCTGACAAGAGAATTGTGTATTTTAGGTCAAAATAGAGAAATTGGAGTTGCAGTGGCTTTCATTTCTTGTCTTTTGGCCTAGAAACTTCAGTTCTCAATAATTAATTGGTGGCTGTATACATGATTAGATGGCCTGTTCACAAAAAAAATAAAAATGATCAATTTGGCTGAGCAGCTGGTGGTGTCTGGGTGCTACGTTGAGCCCAGGTATTTGTCCCCCGCGTTTAATAAAGTAATTTGCTCACATTATTTCCAGTGCCGCGTGGGTTTTCTTTGTGGCTGGCCCCGCTCCGCTTCCTTGGCTGAGATCACAAAATTTGAGCTCTCAGCCAATACAGTGAAGGGGAAAAGGTATTTGATCTCCTGGTGATTTTGAACGTTTGCCAACTGACAAAGAAATGATCAGTCTATAATTTTAATGGTAGGTGTATTTTAACAGTGAGACAGAAGGTAAAGGTAGTGCTCCTAATCTCAGCTCGTTACCTGTATTAAAGACACCTGTCCACAGAAGCAATAAATCAGATTTCAAACTCTCCACCATGGCCAAGATCAAAGAGCTGTTTAAGGATGTCAGGGACAAGATTGTAGACATACACAAGGGTGGAATGGGCAACAAGACCATTGCCAAGCAGCTTGGTGAGAAGGTGACAACAGTTGGTGCGATTATTCGCAAATGGAAGAAACACAAATTAACTGTCAATCTCAGTCCGTCTGGTGTTCCATGCAAGATCTCACCTCGTGGAATTTCAATGATTATGAGAACAATGAGGAATCGGCTCAGAACTACACAGGAGGATCTTGTTAATGATCGCAAGGCAGCTGGTACCATAGTCACCAAGAAAACAATTGGTAACACACTACGCCATGAAGGACTGGAATCTTGCAGTGCCTGCAAGGTCCCCCTGCTCAAGAAAGCACATGTACAGGCCTGCGTGAAGTTTGCCAGTAAACATCTGAATGATTCAGAGGAGAACTGGGTGAAAGTGTTGTGGTCAGACGAGACCAAAATCGAGCTCTTTGGCTTCAACTCAACTTGCCGTGTTTGGAGCAGGAGGAATGATGACCCCAAGAACACCAACCCCACCGTCAAACATGGAGGTGGAAACATTATGCTTTGGGGGTGTTTTTTCTGCTAAAGGGACAGGACAGCTGCACCACAACAAACGGACGATGGACTGGGCCATGTACTGTCAAATCTTGGGTGAGAAACTCCTTCCATCAGCCAGGGCATTGAAAATGGGTCGTGGATGGGTATTCCAGCATGACAATGACCCAATACACACAGACATGGCAATAAAGGAGTGGCTCAAGAAGAAGCACATTAAGGTCCTGGAGTGGCCTAGCCAGACCTTAATCCCACAGAAAATCTGTGGAGGGAGCTGAAGGTTCGAGTTGCCAACCATCAGCCTTGAATAAATGACTTGTAGAGGATCTGCAAAGAGGAGTGGGACTATATCCCTCCTGAGATGTGTGCAAACGTGGTGTCCAACTACATGAAACGTCTGACCTCTGTGATTGCCAGCAAATACTTATTTCATTCATTGACATGCAAATCAATTTATAACTTTTGACATGCATTTTTCTGGATTTTTGTTTTTGTTATTCTGTCTCTCACTGTTGAAATACACCTACCATGAAAATTTTAGACTGATCATTCCTTTGTCAGTGGGCAAACGTTCAAAATCAGCAGGGGATCAAATACTCAAATACTTTTTTTTTTTCTTTTTTTTTTTTCTCACTGTCGATATTATTACAAGCGTTTACAAATTTCCCTCAAAACGTTAACTTACTAAATAACCACAGACAAATTAAGTCACAGTTACATGCACAAACCAAAAAGCTGCACAGTCTAATATATGCATACTAAACCACTTGCCTTATTAGCCATATGCACAAATTCATTCACATATATATATATAAGTAGCTACTCACGCATGCATTCAGAAATAACTTGTTTCTTGCCCATGCTTACACACATTTATGCATAGACACACACTTTCCTGTCTAATTTCTGCTGCTCAGTCCTGTCAGGAGTGAGTGGAGATCTGGAGGTCTCTGTCACTGGTGTTTAGTGGTGGTGCAGGCTCTCTCTTTTTTTCCGGCAGGGACTGACTTCTAAATCCATTGCTCTGAAGTTTGATAATTATGAGTTAACCACCCGTGCAACTTATACATATTATATAGTTCTACCTATTTATCACACCTAGTACATATATATTATATATATACTAAATGCATTATTACCCGAGACTGTTAATTAACAATCCCATAGCACTGCCAAAAATATTTTGATATGTCCGTTAAAATCAAAATTTATTTTATGTACTGTGTTTTTATCCCTTTTAAAGAGAATTCATGCTGTGTATTGCTATCTGTAACCACCCACAAGCATTTCACAGCAAGCAATGTTCTGTAATGATGGATGAATTTTGTTTATATCTCTTTCATTGTGCTTTAGATCTCCTTTGCAGTCACTGGGCCATAGTAACTAAAGGCTTGTTGGCATGTTTTCCATATACAGCTGGTGCTAGCTCTATAGAATCCCCCTTGCCTGACAATTAGTAGTTTTGTTGCTATGACTGGCAGTAGATGGAGCAGATGGTTTGATTTGAGTGCTAAACAATCTCCCCCAATCAGCAGTTTCTAGCAGCAACACAATTCCTTATCTGGCAGTATTTCTGTTATGTTTTGCTCAAAATCAGTAGTCGATTTCAATAAGCAAGGCATTGTGGGGAAGTAAAAGGGACGTTGCACCCTTTAGGCCAAAATGGACAGTTCCCTTGTGAAAAAAAAAAATCTCCAACAGTTTTTTTTTTTCCAGCTAGGATATTGTGGCATTAAATGTTCAATTCCCAATCTAGTGAATAACTGGAAACACAGACACTAACAGACAGATCCATCGATTAACATCCAGACAGTTTGAGATCAAACATAGCTACTACAGCAAGCTATTGCTTAGAGTGGCCTTTTGCATAGTGGGAGATCAAGCAAGTTGCATTAATTGCTATGTGTGAAACCCTTGCAGTATGTTTTAGCTTGATGGAGAACAATGTAGATCAATTATTTTGTTGTCGTAGTGAAGGAAAATGATGTTTTAGGTTCTGGTACCTGTAACCAAATTAACCAATTTAGTTTGGGCAAAATCTTTTTTCATCTGTTCTCAGTAAATATGACTGCTGTTTCTTTTCTTTTTTGTATCGGATTAAAATAAATGTGTTTTATTAATATTTAATGCCAAAATGGCAGATGATCCACTTTGAATTTTCCACATCTTATTTATGATGTACTATTTTATTCCTTTATTAGAATTTGATTTGTTTCAGAGAGTTAGACTATTTCATTTATAACAATAAGTGGTTTCGTCCTTTGACAAGCACCATCACCTCTACAACTTGCTGTGCTGGTATTAGTGCACCCCAATTGTAGGTAGTCAAACTACTTGTTCTATGTTTCTGGGTGATGAATGCTACTGCCGCCCAGGAGCAGTGGGGTGTGCTATGTGCCGTAGTAATTATCACTCTTGGAGTATTCCTTTAAGCTGATCACCAGTCCCCTCACCCCCTTCCTCTCCCCCCACTCAACAAAATTTTGCGTGCTTTCAGGAATTTAAACAGATTTCTTCACAAAAGTGTGAATTGTTAGGAATGCAAAGTGAATTTTCAAATGTAAGGGATAAAATAGCAGTTAAAATAGCAGAGTTTGAAGCAACATTGATTTGGAGAATTATTTTCCGTTTGGCTGTTATAGCATAACTTTGAATTCCCAATATTTAACACTTTAGTGAATAATATTTTATGTTAGCAATGTTCGATTTTTTTTTTAAAATTATTTATTTATTTTTATTTTTTTAAGTCCATTGGAGTCCAGTTTGTAAACCTGCCTTCCAATATTCTATTAATAGGCACCATCGATGAGGACGTTGTAGTCATCGAAGCTTCATCAACCCCACAGGTCCCAGCCAACGAAGAAATCAACGTTACCTCAACTGACAGCGAGGTGGAGATTGTGACAGTCGGGGAAACATACAGGTTGAACCAATTTATTTTCTTTCCTTTCTCATTGTTGGCTAGCAATATATTGTAGGTATATGTTGCATTGTTTACAATTGACCCCTTAAGGACACATGACGGCAATATTCCGTCATGATTCCCTTTTATTCAAGAAGTTGTGTCCTTAAGGGGTTAAATGGAGCTTCTACGTTTTTAGATGCAATATATACTTTGGCTAAACATGTGGCCTGAAAATATATGAAAACACAATGGAACATGCATATATTGCATACAGTATTGTAAATATGGTTTACATTTCTGGTCTACAGCGTTAATATAGAAATTACTTTGGTGCTGCCAGAAACCTCTCCCTAGCTATGTATACTTAATAGTGTTGTGTTGCTTTTTGCTTTTGTTATGTTGAGAGCGTGTCAGAATCCCTTTAAACAGTGCTTGTACTAGAATTGTGTTGAGTCAGACACTGACAGTTTGGGATATGTTATAGTGTAAACAGGCTCTTGGCTGTTTCACTGGTTCCTGAAATGTGCTTGTTATGCACTTCCTTTCATAACCACAAAGCAATTGAAATGTAAGTGTTTTATCCCTTCACGTGGCAAGTGTGTTTATTGTAGAGCTTGAAGGGGCAATCAAAGCACCAAATTACATTGTCTTAAGGTGATTTGGGGGAACTGATGTTGACCCTGCAGCGTTTTTGAGAAACCGCACTGTTTGCCTTGTGTAATCACCATGCCTATATTGTCTGTCAGACGGCTACTAAGGGCTTTGGACTAAAATAAATTCAGTCATTTGATGCATTTTATGTCTTGCGTCTTATGTCTGCACGCGTAGTATGCCACTGCTAATCTGTGAGTAGCAAAGGGTTGGCAGGTATACACTGCATGTCTGCAGTGCTGGTCTATGAGAAACAATTAGTTGGACACAGATCATCAAACTTGATGATCTCACAGGAAGAGGATATGGCTGCAGTGAAGAGGCTGTCCCAATGCTGGATGACATTAGGCCCAGTAATGCAAACTGAAGAAGACTCCTCCCTGCCCCCCACCCTCTCTCCCTCTCCCCCTTCCCCACCATACTTAGTTGTTAGAACTTAGGAATTGTCCGTTCAAATGTTTCTCATAGAAAAGTACTGAAGAAAGATCTCTGTCCAAAGCTTCTTAATCAGGTGGATTATTTTATTGTCAATATGTATTTTTATTGAAGACATTTTTCAGTGGAAAACAGAAAAAAAGTGGGATTCACAGGGCCCCAGAACACAAGTTAAAATGTATCAAAACACGCAAGTCTCTATAATTGTGAATAAGAGTCGTCACTTACCTAGATATGTAATAACAGGTACATATGTGTGAAAGACTGGTTTGTATCACAGGACTGCACATCCAATCTAGGGATTTGTATTAAAAAACTACAACAAAAACAAACCTACTTTAGGATTTTTTGTGTTTTTTTATTTAAACCATTTACATGGTGACTAGGTGTATAAAGCTATTGTGGACCAAACTTCTTAGTAGGCTCAGTAAAGCACCTTGATTAGTGTTACATGTCACATAAGCTTACATACATAAGATTTAACTCCCACAAGCCTCTGCTAAAATCTCAGTGAACATAATAGGAGTTGTAGTCCTGCAGGAGCAGGCAACTTCTTGAATTGTATTTGATGGGACATAAATTCCCAACAGAGTGGCTTGTTATAAGCTGATTTTTTTTTCTTTCTTCTAAAGAGTTAAATTGCTTGAGAGCAGGGCAATAGGAGGTTGAGTGTGTGTGCGCACGCGCATATCACACCCAGCAACGAATAGGGCAGTTTTAACAGGGTCATTGCACCATAACTATTTCACTAAGATGAAGTATCCTATATGTAGGGAGTGAAGGTTTGTTTTGCTCAAGTCATCTTAAACCTTTTGTTTTAAATATTTGAAAAATCTCTTCAGCTCTATTTTGATGGCGGATGTTAACTGAAACTGCTCTCTAAAGATATATTTTTCAATGTAATAATTGTGTTCAGAGCCCTTGGGATATTTGATCTATCAAAGAGCAACTTGTACAGTGCAGGTTGAAATTATATATATGACTATATCAGGTGGTCTTTGTGGAGTGCATTTTTGTTCTTTTTATATCTTGGAGAGCGTTTCAGTAAAACACTTTAATAACTTTTCTCTGAGATATTGCAGACTATCTCCTGTGGGTTGTACCATTTGCTAAGCTGCTGCACTTTTGCAACTGATTAAAAATATATACGTTTAAAAAAAATCAACACGCAGACACTTTAATTGGGAGCTGTCGGTTCTCTATAATTTGCATCAATTAAAACATTAGAAATCCAATGAGAAAAATATAAGGTTTAGCCAATGACAAAATCCTGTTCAGACAAGGCAAAACTAGAATAACATTGCAAGTTAAAAGATTTTGTTTTTTAATGTAGGAAGAAGTAAACATAGTATTAAAAACCCTGGGAATTGACGGGTCGCTTTAACTGCATACGTGTATATAACTATTTATTTTACAGGGCCTGTTTTTTTAACTGCATTACCCATGATTCTCTGCAGCCTTTTCACCTCTACTATCATAGACTAACTTATATCCGTATGACATGCTAACCAGTGCCCCGGTTCTGTTTCAGATCTCGCTCTTCAGTTGGACACTCTCGATCTCATTGGGGCCAAAGCTCAAACTCTCAGTCTGGCAGATCACAGGAACAGAGGAGTCGCAGTAGGGTCTCCACAGTTATTCAGCCTTTAAGGCAAAATGCAACTGAAGTTGTGGACCTGACTGTAGATGAAGATGGTATGTGTTATTTACTTATATAATGGAATTTTTAAGGTTATGATTTTTATTTTGTCTTTAAGCTATTAAGTTCCCCAGTGATTTCCCTTTACAGTTGTGTAAAGGGGCACTCTAAGCAATATAACTGGTTCAGTAGTTTGCTACAAAGAGTTCCCTGGTGCTGTCCTTTTAAAGTGTTTAATATAAAACCTTTAAAGTGAACAAGGCACAAAGGGTTCTTGGACGCTATAATAGTAGCCAGCACATACTGTCTAGTGCTGAGGATTTGATTAATAATTGGGAGAGAGAGACACACATTAAATTAAAACCTATGCATTAGCTAGCATTTCTGTTAGCACTATGTATGAAATGTAATGTTCTGTAATTGAAGGCCGAGTTGTGTACCAGGACGATAACACGTTAGGAATTTTCCTAATAAGCAGTCCCCAACTCGGCTGTTGGCGATGCAAAATGAACACCTTCAAAGTGTCAATGCAACTTACATCCAACCGAGACTACACTGATTTGGTGAGATTCTGGGAGCAGATCAGGAAAGCAGTCCCAGCTAATCATTCGTATAGTCTGGATGAAATTGACATTACAAAATTGAGAAGTGGAGGTAGTCTGTTGGTGGACCCCCCTGTTTTTATCAAACTTTTTTATTAATGTTTTTGATTCCAAACCAAGAAATGGCATTAGAAGTATCTAAGCAAAATAACCACTACAGATTTCAACAGTGGTTGTACTGCCTTGCGTGCACCTTCAAGGGCCTAAGTTTTCAATCATGTAGTTTTCCTTCAGCAATCCATGCTCTTGTTTAGATATGTAGTTTGTTTATCATGACCACTACAGTGATTTGAGGATGAGTTTTATTTTATAGAGGGGGGTGGGGAAGATCTGCCATAAATTGTTACTCTAACAAAAACAGTGTTTTATAAAAAGGCAGTTTTTTTGGTTGGTGTAACCCTTTAAAGTGACACACCAGACACTATAACCACATCATTGACATTTTTATAGTGCCTGCAGTACCTAGACACTCCACCCTCCTGGCTTTTCCTCACATGATTTGCATGTTTCTACTTTTTTCATTTATTCATTTGCCTGCCATTTGGCATGCACTGTGTATAGTTAAAGTTTTGAAATAATTACAGCAGGACTTCCTTTATGTGATTTTATTGAAACCTAGGACTCAAAACTTGAAATTGCCTAGACTTCTTTCTGGGCTTTTGTTTAAAGGGACTCTCCAGTGCCAGGAAAACAAATCCTGCAGTGCCCCCCTCCCAGCCCCCTTCTTATGTTGCTGAAGGGGTTAAAATCCCTTCATTGACTTACCTGAATCCAGCGCTCCTTTGGCGCTGGATAAGGCTCCACGCATGCTCCTCTGGCGGGGGGGACCTGATGCGCATGCTTTCCTAAGGGGAATCCGGCGACGCTGGAGGTCTCATGCATAGCGTGAGGACGTCCAGCGTTGTTTAAAACACTTTTTTCCTGTTTTAAGAATCCGGAAGTTTCTCTTTTTGGCTGTCTGACAGACAGCCACTAGAGGAGAACTCAACCCTGCAAGGTAATTATTGCCGTTTATAAAAACAGGGTAAAGGGTGATGGAAGTTGGCACCCAGACCACATCTGCCTCCTGGAGTGTCCCTTTAATTGTGTCCTATTGATCAGACCCTAAGTGGGGAATGCCAAAAATGAACAGCCGCAACCTCTGATAGAAAAAAAAAATGCAAATACTTTTATTTCTTCATAGCATATTGACAAATACTATAAACACACGAATAACAGCAAAGTAGGGGAACTGTGGGACCATTGTCTAACATGTTTCGTGCTCTAAGCACTAAATCTGAAACTACTACGTTTCCTAAATATGGGTCTGGTAGGCTAATGAAGATGTTTATATAACTTGCACTGTAATAGCAACAATAAAAAAACACAATCCTGAACTTTAGATAGGTATTCTGCCTTTCTGTTTTATAGATCCCACAGTTGTGCCAACTACCTCTGTCAGAATGGAGTCCCAGCCTGGCAGCACTGTTTCCAGCAATACGTCTACCTCAGAGCCGGCCTCTGAAGCTGTTTCAGGATCGTCTGGGGCTCAGACTTCCAATGTGCCTGAGACACCCCCAGTCCCTGCAAATAACAGCACTACAGGCACAACAGCAGGTAAGATGAGGTTTCTCACCAATGTTTTAAGCAGCTGCAAACCTGATCAGAACCAAATCAGAAATACACAACTCAGGGAAACAAACTCTTCAAAGGACTTAGGGGAGGGGGGTATGAAAGCAAAACAGGTACTATTCAAGGTGCAAAGTACTAAATATAGAGACATTCCATTGGTTTCCGTGGTGATAGCTCCTTATTCATCTCTGCCTTGGAGTAGCAACTGTATTTGCCTTGGTAAATCCCCCGCTCTGATGTCTTCTGCACAGACTGCCTTCCCAGTATGTGCTTGAGCAAATGTGTGTAGAAAGAATTCTTGGATTCCACACTTGGCAATCTCGCTTCACAAATGCTCGTTTAAGCATGGCTCTTGTCACCTTTTGTTTTCTTTAATATAAATCACTTGTTTGTATGTTCTGACAATGTGTACGCCACTTCATAATATGCAGGTGATTTATAAGTAAAATAGCTTTATGATATGTGCACTTTGAACGGCAATCACGTCAGCGTTTTTAGTGTTTATTCATTTAATGCCATATTGTAGTGAATTGGAAAATGTTGGCCAAAATAGCACACGGTGACTATAGAGCAGTAGATGCTATGGCAATTCTGTTTTCTTCTTAATACACTTTGTTGTTTAGTGAATAAACTCCTTTGAACAAAGCCTAGTGCTTGCCAACAGTGATTCTTATTAAACTTTTAATTTCCTAAGAAGTAAAACGTAATTCTGTATCTTAATAATAATTAAAAAAAAACAAGACTGATGGCATTGCAAGTGAGTTGCCAATAGTGAATTCAATAAGGTGTTGGAAACAACTGAATTAATTCATAAAACAGCAAGTGTGTCTTTTCACACCTTATATGCTGACAGCCGTGATTAACTAGAAGTAAAAGGACAAATTGCTGCCAGACCATGAATCTATACCAACAGTCAGTGGGATACGGCTTTACAAGCAATTAATTCCAACTGGGCCGTGTTTGCATTTAAATTGGCTCCTTGTGAGCATACAAAAGCAGACTGAGACAATGTTTTGTCTAGAAGTGATTTATAAAGCTAACTTAAGAAAGATTTAAGCCCGATTTGTGCAGCATTTTGCACACAAGAGCTTTTAAAATGCTTCTAGAAATTGAGTTATTAACTGCAGTGCCAACTGTTGGCATATTAAGCCAACGGTAGAGAAAACCAGTAGGTCAAATAATGCTGCTTGTTGGGTCATATTTCAATCAAAGCAATAGATGCAAAATTGTTCAAGGAGAACGGGGCAACAGGCTATAGCACTTGTTTTGCCAGCCACTCTGAACTTTGTAATGTCATTATTTTTTTTTCATGTTTTACTTACCGGTATATAGGTTAGTAAAGGATTGTTTTGTTTTTTTGTTTTTTTTTCTATATTTGATATCTGTGTAATGTAACTTCACAAAATGTATTCTATTATATTAATCATAGTCTCTTATTATATGCATATGCCTTTTGTTATGTATACTTTAGATTTTCAGTTATTTTGCTTTCCTTTTTAGGTCCTTTCTATTAATGTTCACTATGAATGTATAAGCACAGGGACAGCGTACAGCAAAGATCCTGAGACCTACATATTTTGTCACTGTGTGATAAATTTCTGGCAACTATATGTTGAAGGAACACTCCGGGCACCATAACAACTTAATCTCGTCTTACCTTAAAGTGGTTCTGTTGCCTCAAGTTTCCCTTCCTCCTGTTTTCTCTTCTCTTTGTTTGTCAGACTCTTCTTGTCTTCATTTCTGAATAGATCCCTTTTAAACATAAAACAAAGTAGAGACAATTTTGTCTTGTGGTTTTCTTACATTTGGCAGTTTGATAAAGAGAGGAGCTTACATTAACTTGCCCTAACCTCCACCCTTTTTTTACAATTGTCAAGCATAGGAAAAATACATAAGACAAAGCAGTCTCTATCTTGTCATGTTTTAAAGCGAAACCGATCAGAAATGAAGAAACTGATTCTGAAAGAGGGAAAAGAAGAGGAAACAATAGGAGTAAGGGAAGTTTGAGGTGACACTTTAAGTAGTGTACATGGTGGTTATCTGCTCTGCTCCTCAATGTGGGAGCCTTGGAATGGGCACCAGCAATAGTCTAAGAGCATGAGCTGACGCTCTCAGGCTATCACTAACTTCTCATTTTAAAAAATCAACAACATTTCTTTTGGCAAAGATGACCCATTACCTAAAAGCACCATAACTTAATTGAGAAGAAATTTTTATGATGCCTTGAGTATTCTATTACACAGCAGATCAACGGCAAACCATTTAATAATATAATAATATTAATATTTAATAGTATAAAATGTATTGTAATTTCTCTAGTTTTGTCACATCCACTAATTTTAAACTGGTTATTTTTTTAATTGACACATCAATGTGTATGAAGGATGTCCATTATAAGGGCTCTTCAAGGAACCAGAAAGAAATCTTATTTTTATTGTATTGTTCATATTGTAGATGACACCAGGAGGACTACTTCAGGCTCTGCTGTAGATGGTGGCCCTCCAGCTATGCCACGTTTGCCATCTTGTTGCCCCCAACACTCACCATGTGGTGGATCGTCTCAAAATCATCATGCCTTGGGACATCCACACTCAAACTGTTTCCAACCACACAGTCACCATTTTCCACACCATCATCACCACCACCATCATAATTCACACCCAGCTGTTCCTCTTTCTCCTCCTTATCCGGACTCTCATTGCCCCGTGGAGAGAAGTGCTCCTGTACCACCACCTTGTGGAGCCACTGGCAGTTCTGCTTCAACCTATCATGACCCGGTAAGACACAATGCTTTCCAATTCTGAAATGGAATGCAGTTAGGCAGTTCACACACCCCCTTATTATAGTTATGTTCATCAGCTTATGTAAGGTGACCATTCCTTTTATGAAGGAATTAATTGTTGAAACATGATCTGGTGTACGCTGATGTTATCCACCAACCTCTTTTAAATTGCTTTATTACAATCTTTTTAGTTCCATCCTATTCTTATCTTCACATGCAGACATAAGATCTAAAATGTCATCAATAAAATAATTTTTAGGGAGTTGAAACTTAGGAAAAATTGAATGGATGCTAATGTTTTCCTTACATTATTTTTATTGCAGCAAGCCTTACCAGTAGATCTGAGCAACAATGGTATAAGAAGCCATGGGAGTGTTAGTTTTCATAGCACCTCTGCGTTTGACCCTTGCTGTCCTGGCTCCTCATCACGCTCTACCGTTTACGGACACCAGTCCTCAGCCAGTACTGCACAACCCATAGCAATTGATGGATATGGATCCAACATGGTAGCTCAAGCCCAGCCTCCTCCCCAGACTTCTCTCTCTTCCTGTCGTCATTACATGCATGCTCCATGTAAGTTAACTTTATTCTCTCTATCGATTGCTCATTGCTACTTTGACATTGAAAATGGCACATTCTCACTGTTTCTATTAAAGTAAAGTTTAAAAAAGTATACATTGGGATATGCGGGGGACCCCACGGAAATTAATTTTGATGGATTGTAATTGCTAGAATATTACAGCATATACAATAAATCAAATGTGTTTATTTCTGCTAACAGGCTTCTCTCAGCGTCTGCACAGTGCACCTCACCAGCAAATACTGTGCATCTGTGGGAGGATCTACACCCTTCCCCTCAAACTCCCAGCATTCTATGCAACAACACTACTGTGTCTTCACACATGGATAAAATATGCAGTGTTTTGTACACTTAGAGGATTAAGGGAGCTTCTGGCAGAGGATATTCTCGAAGAATGCCATGGCAGTTTAAGAATTGAGAAAGTCTCTCATATACCTGATAAAGCTTGTTACAGCCAACATTAAAGCCTCCAGTTCCAGGGTTTTTTTGTTTTTCTTTAAACCTAATGTATATCCAATCAGCACAGATCTGTGCCACACTGCCTTTTTATTTCTCCTCTCTTCACTGATTCCTGTTTGACATGTTGCCCTCGAGTAGCTTTGTCACACACATTTTTGCAATGTAATTAGTAATAGGTCCTAAAATAATGTAGTCTATTTTATATCTAAGTAATATTTCATATACATATACTTCCTGTACAAGGTTTGAGTTTTTCTTTGTTTTTTTATTTATTTATTTTATTTCAGATGCTTCTCTTACAAGGCCTTTGCACCACCAAACTTCATCTTGCCCTCATTCACACGCCAATCCTCCTCCCCAACCTCCACCACCACCTCCTCAGATGGACTATGTCATTGCTCATCCAGTGCACCCTTTTCATCCATCTCTACCAGGCTTAACATCTGGTCATCCAGTCCCTCCACCTCCTCCTTCCCATCACCTTTCAAGTGCAACAGCACCTCTCACCCAGCATCTCACCACATCTCACCAATCCATGTCCCACCATATTTCTGCTGCAGCCCCTGCAACACAGCGGTTGCATCCACATGAGGTCATCCAGAGAATGGAAGTCCAGCGGCGGCGTTTGATGCAGCATCCAACGTATGTAGTTCTATCTCTATCCAAATAATTTTTCAACCCAAGTTATGGAATTCTATAAATGCTTAAAGCATACAATCTTTATGAAATACATTGATTGTGTTGAAATTTTGCTTATATGAACACTATAGAGTCAGGAACACAAGTATGTATTCCTGACCCTGTAGTATTAAAACCACCATTAGGTGGCTTGCCCCCTTAAAAGGTAAGAAAAGGTATCTTATTTACAGGGCTGCTCATGAACCCCGGCGCTGGCCCTGCCCCTGATCCGCCTCCTTGGCTGACATTGTTGGAATTGATGATCTCGGCCAATCCAATGCTTTCCCATAGGAAAATCTTGGATTGGATGAGAACGTCACGGGGTCGGTTAGGCCAATCAACTTCTCTTCATAGAGCTGCATTAAATCAGTTAAGCTCTATGGGGAAAGTTCAGCGTCTCCGTGCACAGATGAGGAACGAGTGGTCACTGGAGGTATCCCTTGGGAGCAATGTAAACACTGCTTTTTCTCTGAAAAGGCAATGTTTACAGCAAAACGCTTGCTGGGACTGACTATACTTACCAGAACAACTACATTAAGCTGTAGTTGTTCTGGTGAGTATAGTGTCCCTTTAACTTTTTACTTCTATTCCTTTCAAAAGAACCTCTTTAAGAAATTAATGCATAACTCATCCTAAAGATCAATGCTATATTGTATTGATTTAGGAGAATACTTAGTGGCTGACATGACTTTATATAAATTAACTAGCCATCTAGGTTCTATAGGAGGTACATGCATGACTGATAACTTGGATGATTATATCTAGAGAACATTTTTGGGGGAAATGTAAAAAGCCGTCTGTCGGTTTCATGATGATTATTACAGCTTTCTTATTTTGACCCACTATTGCTCTTTGTGCATAAATCTTTCACTTTTTATTATTTTTTTATTAAACCGTAAAACAGTTTGTATGATGTCTAGGAATCCACAGTAGATTTATCATTACTAATATACATTACTTGTATGTTAATATGTGTTTGTACTTAAAAAAAACAAACTGCTTTTTTCAGTAATTTGGATTTAAGGGCGGTCATATATTTCAGGCGTGCTCATGAACGGCCACCTCCACACCCACACAGAATGCACCCCAATTATGGACACGGACACCATATTCATGTGCCTCAGACAATGTCCTCCCACCCTCGCCAGGCTCCTGAGAGATCGGCTTGGTAAGTCAGCTTTGCCATGATGTCCCTTTAAATAACTGTGGCAGACTTCAGATTTTTTTAGTTTCACTACTCTAAGGAGCTTGCGTTTCCCTATATGATCACAGCAACAGTGTGACCGTATTCTCATATTCTGCATCTAATGGAATCAAATACAAAATCTGTTATTGATCAGTTCAGATTTCCTGATTTATGCCCAGAGCTGAAAAAACATTAAAGGCTAGTGGCAAAAGCCACATTGCATTCTATAAAAATAACTATATATTTTTTTTTTCTCCTTCATGTTGATTGTCCTTCGAAATCAAACTATTCAGGGGTTCTGGATAATTTATTCTAAATGCCATTTTAAAACTATATTGTAAATGTAATATGAACCAGTCACCAGTAATTTCACAGATTTGCTTGTTCTCAGGATTTACAAATGCTTTTAGTTAGTGAAAGGTTTTAACAACTCATCACATTACGGCACAATAGAAAGTGATGCATTGCTGGACAGAATGGTTCATGGCAGCAATGGCTAATCCTCATAACCCCAGAAGTTTAAACTTGACTTCCCATGATGCTCATTCAGTTGTCAGAAACATCTGGCTTGCCAAGAACCACCATTGCGGCTCTGGTATTTGCCCAAGCATCCTTGGCATTTAAGGTGAAATAGTGTGGACTGATTTATCTCGTAATTAAATACTTTTGCCATCTGTTAACTTGTGTTTGTTTTCAAAAAGGTAGTCAGGCTATTTTTATCGACTCTTTAGTGCAATTTCTGTGACTTACTGGAAAATGTTATGCAATTTTGGCCTTACTGTATTGAATATGCTAAATCTAAAAGGAATCTTTTGTTTTGGATCTTTCAGGGAAATAGCAATTGAAACTGGAGTGACAGCAACCCCGTACCAAACTGGTCCCTTACATCCCCATCTAGGTCACTACCACCCACCTCCCAGGCTTCATCACTTGCAGATCGGGGCCCTTCCATTAATGGTAAGATGTTTATTCTCTGTGGAAACTGCTGTGTATTAGTATATACATTTTTTATTTATTTATTTTCTATGGAACTGTAACTTCCTCTGGAAGTGACAATTTCTCATCACCTCACTCCGTTATCCTGCGGACAAATACTTCTCATCCAAGCACTTTCATGTTCAGGGAGACATCGCCGCAGGGTACAACATGCTTGCTCATGCACTGTTGTGCTTCTGCAGATAAATGCTCTATGAATGCATGCATTCTCACAGGTTGGTGTATGGGTATATGCAGTTATGCGTACAGTACTATGGGGGTTAAATTAAGTAGCATGCCAGGCTCTGGCTTTACCAGGACGGCTCATATGGCATGTAAACTAAATATCAGGAACAAATAAGAATTAAAGAAAATAAATAAAAATGCAACCCAGGGATAACTTTAGTTTATCAGATTGTGCAAAACATTCTCTTGTGACAGTTCCGCTATAAGAACCAAAAGCCCAGGTTGTGTTCACTACAGTGAGGCCAGTTTGTCCTTACGTTACTTTTTCCCCCCAGTTTACTAAAATCCTTTGCATGGTCACAGTAATAATGTATTGGCCCTTTTTTGGTCAAAGTACTTTGATAAAATATAGACTCATTAATCCGCACACAAACTTTAATGCACTTAACATCTTAAGGACCAAACTTCTGGAATAAAAGGGAATCATGACATGTCACACATGTCATGTGTCCTTAAGGGGTTAAAGGGACTCTATAGTCCCAGGAAAACATATTTCAGTTTTCCTGGCACTGCAGGTTCCTACAGTGCCCTCCTCCCTCCCATTCCCCATCCCATGTTGCTGAAGGGGTTAAAACCCCTTCAGTGACTTACCTGAATCCAGTGCCGATGTCCCTCGGAGCTGGGTCAGACTCCGCCCATGCTCCTCCTTTGCCGACGCCAGCCGGCAGGGGAGACCTAATGCTCATGTGCGGCAATGGGGTTGCCGCGCTTTACACCTCTCCATAGGAAAGCATTATTCAATGCTTTCCTGTGGGAATTCTGGCGACGCTGGAGGTCCTTGTGCATAGTGTGAGGATGTCAGCGTAGTTTAAAATACTTTTTGTGTTTTAAGAAGCCAGAAGTCCTTCTAGTGTCTGTCTGATAGGCAGCCACTAGAAGAGGACTTAACCCTGCAAGGTAATTATTGCTGTTTAGAAAAACTGCGATAATTACACTTGCAGGGTTAAGGGTGATGAGAGATGGCACCCAGACCACTCTAATGGGCAGATGTGGTCTGGGTGCCTGGAGTGTCACTTTAACTTTTAACACCAGTGAGTGCTATAACTTCTTCATGGCTGGAGGTTGTGAAAATCCCTTTGTCCTGGCAAGTTAGCTGTAATTGAGGGGTAAACACCCGTGAAGGCTAATTGGTCTCATAATTGCTATTTGGCTTTGCAGATTGTATCGCCATATCAAAAATCATATTTATTTAGCTCCAATAGCGCCCTGTGGTACTAGTATTGTAAACAAGCTGGGCAGTCCCTGTTAGTCCATGGACTCTATGTCTCTCTTGTGATCAGGCATTGAATGCTAATGGTCTGTATTTTTTCCAGGGAAATGATCAATTAAACAGAATTTTATCATGTCTCAAATTCACAACCTTTTTTGCTATAAAATTGATCATGTATCACTTAAAAAACTCTAGCTGTCTATCATTTACTTTAGAAATGTCTTTTTCATGGCTGTATACACAATAAGGATCCTGACAGTTTGTAGTTTATTTTATAGTATAAATCAAATTCTGTGAGGCATTAACACTCTGCATCTGATTCCATAGCCTTTTGCATCGCTGTCTACTTAGCATGCTTCAGTGTTTGAGGAGCTAGTGTAGGCAAAAGATGTGTAAATCTACTGTGCATTGTAAACTGGTCAGCATTTGCCTCTTAATGGTTACTTAGCATTATTCAGATAATGCCTAACGTTCAACATTCTGGCAGATGTAATGTAGGCCTTGCAAACATCAAACAACACTGGGCCAAATGTAGGACCTTGGACGTTCTAAAATATTTTACATGACATTCTGGGTAAAGAACATGCAGTTTTGCTCGGTCCCGTATAAAAGTATAGTGATGTATTAGTAAGCACAAGGTTTTAGCACCTTGCCTCGCGGAGAATTCCCCCCTCCCCATAGGTGAACACTTATTCCTTTATACTCAGTGAAAAATATTATAAATGTTCAGCTATTTGTAAGTAGATTTTCAAATCTGTTTGGAAGCGGATTCTCAAATAGTTTTCAATATCCTATACTCTTAAGGTATGCCATAAAGATCACAATTATGCTCTTACTGTTAATGTCCCTTCATTAGTTGTTAGAGTTTTCAAATTTGGAGATATATATAGACAAGCTTGATTAGTCTGACTTGTGATATCATAGTCCATAATAATTTACAACAGTTATTATTAACTGGAGGAAAGAAACATTATATTCCTTAGACTCCGGGCCACTGCTCACACCTTCCCTAATGCACTGAAGATTGTTTTGACCCTGTAAAGAGTGTAATGCAGGTTTTGTGCCAGAGTTATTTTGGTTATTTGGTTTATACTGCAACTAAATGAGTCCCCTAGCTAATGCTATATACATAACGTGGGTTATTACTAAAGAAGGTTTAATAAAAGTTAAATTAATTATGTTTGTGACTTAGAGGGTAGAAGCAAGTGCTCTTTATCTAGGAATATAGTGTAAAATGGAATGCTGATCCCAATATAAGTATTTAATTTCCTGCTCTAGACCTAGCCGTGCAGTAATAGTCAGCTACATACAATATTATTCAGATAGCATGAGTAGGGCAGTAGGGGCACAATGAAGACTGGCCACCATGAAGAGGGAGGAAGGGCACCTTGGCAGTCACTGGCCACAATACGGAGGATGCAAGGGCACCATGGCAGTCACGACACCATACAGAGGGATGGAAGGGCACCATGGCAGTCACTGGCCACCATATGGAGGGAATAAAGGACACCATGGCAGTCCCCGGCCATCATACGGACAGATAGAAGGGCACCATGGCAGTCACTGGAGAACTACTCATTGTCTTTCCCTGTTCTACACCCATCTATTGGATGATCACAAATATAACCTAAATCAACCAACTCTATTTCCCAGCAGCCATTTTGAGAACAATATTTCCTGTGTGAACGCCATGGTAACCTGTTTCTTACACGAACATCGTTGTTTAATACTGTCCAAAAATTTTGTTTTGTAGATGCACTATTCAGGTGTCATTTCAGTGAAGGACTTAAGTCTAATGCTTTCTGATCTTGTATCATGTTGTCCCCATACTGCTTTGAAAGGATATGCGTTCAATATCTGTTTAACATAGTTTGTATTTACCTACTGAAATGGCTGTCTCTGTAGACGTAAAACCTATTTTATCCTATAATGACCCTTCTTGAATGAATATCATCCATAATACAATATTTCCTTATCTTTGTCTTTTAGACTGTCTTATCAAATTGAATCAAGTCATGATTTTTATATGGATAAAACAGTTAAAAATTATATTCTCAATAGATTATTACTCATTTCATATACCCAAGCAATAGTATATTTATCGGTTATTACCACAACTGCTCACATTTTCTTCTGGATATGGGACTATGTCCCTGATTGTTTATGAACAACAGACTGGAAATAGTACTTGTGTTGACCTTTGAACATATCTTTAGGATATTGTTGAGCAAAGCTCTCGACTTCACATATCTTTTAACTGCTTGCTCGGGAATGTGAAGATAAATTGTTGACCTTGTTAGCATTCGGGTTCTGAGGCATTGTGTGTCTTGTTAAAGCTGTAAACGTAGGAGACGACCAGGGAATGTGACCATCTCCTATTTTCAGTAGCTCCATCCATCAATCACCAGTGCCTAACTTGGGTGATGTTGCCACAGACATGTTTGCCCCGAGTATACAAACAGTCTAATGTAGACCTACAGAGAGTTATGGGAGGTTTCCTAGTTTCTTTATCTGATCTGCCAATAAAATGTAAATGGCATTGTTTGCCAGTAATGTTTAACTCCCAAGTTTATAGTGAATATGATGACCCTTACAGTGACATTATACCCACATTTATGATTATTCTGGTGATAGTCTTGAGGTTTTACATTTCTGTCTGTATGAAGAAATTGGGCATTTCCTGCCAGTGGAAGTGTCACACGGTTGCTCTGTGTTTTGTCTGTCTCTGGCGACTAAGAGCTTTGTGAGATCATTACCAAGCAGTTGTGATAAAGTTTAACTTACATCTGCTATTTGAATAGGTTCCAGACATGGCGGGCTACCCTCACATCCGCTACATTTCATCTGGATTGGATGGAAGGTCATTCAGAGTTCCTTTCAGGGGCAATTTTGAGGTTTGTAACAGAATATAAGATTTCTGCTGTCATGTCTTTGGGCAAAGTATGCTTAGGGGTTTCTACTTTGTTCCATTCCTAAATAAATAAAAATTTATTATTTTTAAAAATGAACATCTCGAGTTACATTTTACTAGTGTTAGAAGAAAACACTGATCAGATGCAGAGTGTTAATAAATTGTCCTGCAAAAAAATAGAGGCAAGAGGACATTTGAACTGACCCAACTTTAGTTTCTGTGGAATGTGTGCGACTCAAAAAAATAAACAAAAAGCAAATCTTGAAACTTTTAGCTTTTTGTGTGCCAGAGCATTGTTCAGTGAATTTACATCTCCCTCTGGTATCAACGGATTAATGCTTACTGTGTAACTTATTGTTAATTAAATCAAGCACACTTAAATCATTTTGATGCAATTGTGATCTGTAAGAGTCAATGTAACAAAATTCTAGCATACACTGCTAACATTAAATGTCCATAGATTTCCACCGTGTGCCTGTTTTTTTACACTGTGAGTGCACTCGCTAATTAATGTGCAATGTATACATAACATGTATGCCATTTGAGTTATCTTATCCATCCAGGATTCCATTTAGAACTTCCCTTTCCTTAATGGCCTCATTCTCATGGGCATTATAAATCCCATCAAATTATATGCCCACACTTGTTGGGCCCGCAACCACTGCATTGGCACTTCAAAACACTAGTTTGCTTGATCTGCTAAAATCAATTCAATTCTCTTCTGTGAAGAATTGCCTTAGTAATAATACAATGCAGAAATGGACCTCTCATTTTGTTTGCTACTTTCCTTAATTTTAATTGGGTTAAATTCTCATTTAAGATTTTATTTTATATATAATTTATTTTTATTTACCATTATTTTATCATCTGTGTGCAGTCTAACATATGTTCTGCAGCATTTAGTTCAATCCTTTTCATAGATTATAGAATGTATGTGGCTCTAATTGCCTCCTTGTTTACAGGAATTAATACACCTGGAAGAGCGACTTGGTAATGTGAATCGTGGTGCTTCACAGGGAACAATAGAAAGATGCACATATCCACACAAATACAAAAAGGTGAGAGTTTTTGTATTATTATTATTTTAATGAAAATGTAGTTGGATGTTGCCGGTGTCAGCAGCCGTTTTGTTGCACTATCATAGCTGAGGGTAGCTTTTCCAATAACTTTCTTTGTAAAGAGATATAAGAATGGATGGTCACTGATTGTTTCTCTTTAGATTTCTTTGAATGTTAAGATATAGTAAACTATTAACTATAAAAGGATGTGCCATCCCCCGGTGTAATATCAAATCATTGAAGGTCCTTCTTGCGACTCAGTTTATCTTGTTTTTTGTTTTGTTTTTTATTATCAATTTCTTATACTCTAGTATCTCATGTTGTACAATGAGTATTTATATTAATGTTCATTTTAATTTAATTTTGTGTATTTTGCTATTTTGAAAAATCTATAAAAATCTATTGTGAAAAAACATCAAATCATTGCGTAATATATATAATTTTGATATAAACCCTGGTTCCCATAGACCAGGTGTTCCCAACTCAGTCCTCAAGTACCCCCTACCAGTCCAGGATTTAGGGATTACCCTGTTGTGTCTAAAGTGTTTTTTGTTTTCTAAAAACACCTTAGACACAACTGGGTAATCTCTTAATCCTGGACTGGTAGGGGGTACTTGAGGACTGGGTTGGAAACCCCTGCCATATACCGTCCACATCAGCGGCACATTTGTAATGTAGAATTTACAGTTATTTATTATCAATGTCAATTTCACTAACTTGTGTAACTCTGATATTTACAGATAGCACTGGATGAGCTATGCCAACCTACCCACAACACTATCACCACTGCCCAGGTTGGATGAAATTGACACCGATACTGTATAAATGTTAATTCCGCATTATTAATGTTGCCGAGATGGATGCTGTGGGACTGCTAAGAAGTGCTCCAGTTTATGTCAAACTGTTCCTAAACAGTTTGATATTAAACTGTGGGTCAGCACTAGAGCACTCTTGGCAGAGTAACCACCACAGTGAGCTTAGTGGTTATGTCTCTCAGATTGACCCTTTAAATGTGTATTAAATGTGCATTAAAAAGCAACCAAGTAAGCTGACGAGCCATTGGGGGTTGTCCGAGGACTATATTTGAAGCATGGCACAGTCATTGTGGAATCCAGTGGAATATTCCTTCTAATTGCTCCATTTTTGCAGTGTTGTCTCAGAATATCTTTTTATAGATAGCTTTCATTCATTTGTTTATTTAATTCGTACCTGCCAATTCTTCTAATTCACAAAAAGGCATGATGACAGACTATCTAATGCATGTGAAAAAATAATTTTTAATTTATTCAAATATATTATTGGTAAAAAAAAAAAAGTGTAAAAAGATATTTCATGACTATAAGTTTGTTGGTGCAAGAATATTAAGTGAAAATAGATCAATAAGGTAGTGGGTGATGATCAGTGTGTATTGTAAGGCTATTTCTTTATTTTTTTGTGTGTAATGAATATATAATCTTGTCAATTTTTAACATGGATGGTGAATAGAGGAGACATGGATGAGATTCGTTTAATCAAATAATATATACTCTATTGTGTGTATTGCCAATAGGATATACCATATTTCAGTATGTCATGACTTTTTCACTAAACCAGAAAAAAATAATTCTTGTAAATCTTCTCTGGGTATTTTTATTGACAGAAACAGAATTTGCATTTTAGCATCAATGGAAGAGTATAGGTGTCGTCCATCTTTCAGGATATGCAATCATGTTTAGAAAGCATTTTGTATTATTAGAGGTCTTGTATACCAGTTCTGTCTTAATCATAATAACCAAACGCTTTACAGCCAAGAATTCATATCAGATCCTGTAATGACAAATGTTAAAAACGAAACAAACCAAAAAAACATTTAGCATTTGTATTTTCAGCCTTGTGGGTACTTTCTGTTGCAGAAATTAGTATTTTGGGGGAACTTGAGAAGGAATCGTGAAAGCATAAGAGATGAGCATTTTGTATTCTTTTGCATGACTCAAATTTCTGTTCAGTTTGACAATAATCATATCTCTACTAATAAGGTATCCACTGATTGGTTCTCACAGAGAAAACTACACGACAAGCAAGATGGCGAGGAAGCAACAGAGGAAGACACTGAAGAAAAATGTACAATATGCCTTTCTATATTAGAGGAAGGGGAAGATGTCCGGTAAATATACTTATAGAGATGTACATCGTTTTTTGGGGGTATTTTTATTACATTTCTTTTAAGTATTTTATTCTGTTGGTGTTAGGTTGATGATGATTTTCTGTGATGGTTAAAGACTAGTTAAAGAGGCACTCTGAGCAGCAGAATTACTACAGCTTTGTATTGTAGTGTTTCTGGGGCAAGGAGACTCTCCCTGCAGTCTGTGCAGTGTTTACATTGTTGCTTAACGCCTCCTCTATTGACTTCCACTTGAACAGCCGTTAGCAGGCTTCCTGGTTGCGATGCAAAGTTTGCCATTTGCTCTGGATAGAGATACATTGAGTCAAAGCATGTCTACGAGAAGATTCTGATTGGCGCAGTGCTGCTATTGCCGCACATGTGCAATAGGCCTCATAGGAAACCATTTTGCTGGCTGAGATCATTAGTTTTGAGATAATCAATATTGTTGATCTCACTAGTAGAGGAGGGACCACACGGTGACGTGCATCCAGGAATATAAGGTAAGTAACATGCTTTATTTTAATATTTCAGGGGAGGAAAGGCTTAATCTAAATCGCCCCTACATCACTCTAATGTTAGGACTATATGTTTGTATTCCAAATGTCGCTGTTCCTTTAATTAGCTCATTAATTAAAGATCTTGCTTCATGCACATTTGAAATAATAATATAGTTGCTGAAAGGTCCAAGCTAAAGAACCACATTACATTATTCTATTTCTCTTTCAGACGCCTCCCGTGTATGCATCTCTTCCACCAAGTATGTGTAGACCAGTGGCTGATCACAAATAAGAAGTGCCCCATTTGTAGAGTGGACATTGAAGCTCAGCTACCTACGGAAAGTTGACACTTCTCAATACAGCATTATGTATGCCGCTCACCCCACTCGGTACTGCAGCCAACCAAAGATGGCATGACTTAACTGCACAGAAGTGGAAGCATTAAATCTGGTCTGCTGGTTCTGCCTCAGTATACATCCAATGCTATAGACTACCATTGTATACATGTCACATTTAGGTCCTTTGCTGCTGGCAAGTTCCTTCTGGCAGGGAAGGGTATATATATATATTTATACTGCTTTTTTTTTTCTCCCCTTATTTTTTTCTCAGTTTGTTTTTATGTATGTATTTTTTGCATGGATTCTTGTATTGCATTTCTTTGCACATATTATGGGCTTTGTGAACCCTTAAACTTGCAGGCAAGATCTAGCTGCTCTAGTTAGTAGATGGTGAGCGTGAATGTGAGTGAATGAATGAGTGAGCGAGCGCGCGTGTTTTTTTTGTTTTGTTTTTTAACTTTAGTCCCTTGCTAAATGAACATATCATTTTATTCATTACTAACAGTGAAGTCATTAATTTAATCAATCATGTATTTTAGTTTGTAATGTATAAAGATCTAGAAGAGAAAAAAAATAAAAGCAAGGAAATAATGTATCAAACATTCCTTATTTAGGAAAGACTGGCTGCTGTATAAAATGAAAGTGCTGAATCCAATAACATTCTTTTTTTAATGCCGTGATCACAATGCTTTCACACTAACCTAGAATAAATATTTGCCACACTGGTTCCATTCTGTTTCCTTATAAGTCACTTTCAGCACAGTACAAATATATTTAAATGTCAATTTTAAGAAGTTTAAACTGCTGTTCACAAATATTTATTTCCTTTACAGATGTGATTTGATTTGATTTTTCTCCTTTGCTTCTGTGAAACTGCTCTAACAATGTGTCCAATAGCAAGTAGTCAGGTACCTGGTCTTACCAATGTGGGTAAGAAACATCATGGCTAAACCAAACATTAACTGTATAGTCTTAATAGCAGCTGTTATGGCAGATGACCATGCATCCAGATCATTTTTTTTTTTCTTCCCAAAGTTTCTGCAATCTCCCTCTGGGGGGAGGTAGGGGGGCTCCGATTTAATAAACTTAGCTAAATATAATTTTAGTGTGTGTCTGTTTATTTTTGTTTTCCAATTTATTGCTAAGCACTAAGCTCTGTGTATATTAACAATGATAAGTATCATATAGTTGAGCTTCAAAACAAGTGGTTCTAAGCATTTCTATGAAGTGGTTATGGTGCACAGCACTTACCTTGACATTTTCATTGCTCAATTCTCTTCCATTTAAGAGTTAAATCTGTTAATGTAGCCCTAGCCACTCCCCCCAGCTGAGACTCATAAGGCCTCTCTAGCCACTTCCTGAAAAGAGCCTTTACTTATCTCTTTCTTTGCTAATTGCCTGCTGGATCCTACAGCAGCTTTTTGTGTGTGATTACAGAAATTTTAAAATAAACACAGCGAGGGAATATGTGATTTAACTCGGAAACAGCAGAGCAGTGAGCAGAAAGATTACAGGGGCCTGATTCCAAAATTTCTTCGTTTTGCTGTAGTTGTTTTACTGCTTAGTGTCCCTTATTTACATAGTCTGGTTTCTAAACAAATTTATTGTAGTTTAGACCCATTACTGCATCATTGCTCTGACGCTCTGTTATACACTCAGACACACTAACAATATAAAGCTCCTAGAAAAGAGTCAGAGAGATTTGGACTGACTTAGGGACTGTCCTTTCTAAATAGGGACACTTGTGAGGTATGGCATGCACGACTCTTCCAAGGTCTTTTGTTTCCTTCCATTGCTTCCAGTGTCTTCACCTATCTATATATTTAAAGTCAGTTTCATTTTTAATGATTCCATTCTGTCTATTATTAGTTTATCATAAATTGCATCATCAAAGTGAGGCATCAATCAGATTCAAAAGTTGACTTTGCAATACCCCCAAACAGACTGCACGTTAATAAGGGCTCTGTAATTCCTTCATACAAATTACACACTTGCAGTGGCTCTGTAAGATGCCCAGAAACCACAACACATTTAATGTTGGTTCTGAAATAATGGTAGTTATTGTATAGTTACTAGTCCACTTTAGTGTGATTATCTGTAATTGTAATTGCTAAATCAATTTTTTGCTTAATGAGGCGGTTTTTGTATATAGACTCTGAAGTCTCACTTTACAAATCTGTCATTTAGGAGTTAAATCGTGTTTGTTTCTGTTTATGCAGCCCTAGCCACACCTCCCCTGGTTGTGACTGATACAGCCTGCATGAAAACAAAATGGTTTCAGTTTCAACCAGATATAACTTAGTTTACAAAATTGTATCTCCTGCTCTGTACATTTAATTTTTTACAGTAAGCTGTTACTAGAGCAAGCGATAATAAATTCTAAATTAAACCGCATTTGCAATAAAGGAAGTATAAACATTAGATGTCTTTTTACTGGAAGTGTTTAGGAAGGCTATGTAAGCAACATGCAAGTAGATGTGACTAGGTCTGCATGAACAAAGTGATGTAGCTCCTAAATGGCAGATAATTGAGCAGTGAGGCTGCAGGAGCATGAGCTGTGAACCAAAACTGCTTAATTAAACTAAAGTTTTTTTGGTGACTATAGTGTCCCTTTACCACTGGGTAGGGAGGTTGGCTGGCAGGTAAGAGGTTTAATACTGGGTAGGTAGGTTGGTTGGTAGGGGAGGGTTTAACATGGGGTAGGGAGGTTGGCTGGCAGAGGAGGGTTTGACACCGGGTAGGGCGGTTGGCTGTCAGGGAAGGGGTTAACACTGGGTTGGGAGGTTGGCTGACAGGGGAGGGGTTAACACTGGGTTGGGAGGTTGGTTGGCTGGCAGGGGAGGGGGTTAACACTGGGTTGGGAGGTTGGCTGACAGAGGAGGGGTTAACACTGGGTTGGGAGGTTGGCTGGCAGGGGAGTGGTTAACACTAGGTTGGGAGGTTGGCTGGTATGGACTGGTGCAGAATGTATCGCATACATTACCATGAGGGAGAAAGAGGAGCACATATGGACTCTAGCTGCAGTGCAGTCTGTGCTGTGAGCATTCCTTGTACTAGAGAAGACATACCTCTATTTTCATTGGCTGCAAAAGTACGTTTCTTTCAGAGAATGGGAATCAGGAACATGTTGCAATGTGAGAGGGGGTGGCGAATGAGGCTGGGTTACACTGCTGAAAACTGCAAAACATTTTACAGCCCAGCAGGAAAACTACACATCATTAAAAGAGAAACTAACCACAGGTATTTTGAGCTTATTAGCTTTATTTTAAGCTTAAAGGGACACTGTAGGCACGCAGACCACTTAAGCTTATTGAAGTAGTCTGGGTGCTGTGTCCCTTTTGCACTTGGTGCTGCAATGTAAAACATTCCAGTTCCAGAGAACTGCAATGTTTACATTGCAGCTCTGTCTGCCTACCAGACCGCCACTAGAGGGCTGCCGGATTCGAAACAGACCTTTGGTATGTTATCTGACGCTGGACGTCCTCTGCATAAGGACCTCCACCGTCAGATTTTTTTTCTCCCCATAGTAAAGCCTTGATTCAATGCTTTCCTATGGGGGAAATCCTAATGCGACCCCTTGGGAGGGGGGGCACTGTAGAAACCTATGGTGCCATATTTGTTTCCTGGCACTATAGGATCCCTTTAACTTGTTTAATGAAGGGTAGGAGGCATGCCTATGGAATATAATGCAATAGGGTTTACAAGCTATTCCTATAGTGGTCTCAAATACAAAAATGAGCTAACCTGCAAATATATGCAACCACATATGGGGTTGATGGAAATAGCCATTCAGAGGAGTGCTAATGGAAATTATTTTCAAAACCGCCGTGACAGGTTAAGAAGTGAAGAAATCAATTTACAGAGGGTGTAAGGACAAAGGAGGAACTAGGGAGTAACTGACAAAGCTTTAGGAAGTATAAGAGCAGAAAACAGCATGGCCTAGACTTAGAAGAAAGACTAAAACAGGGAGACTAATCAAATACTCTAGAAAAAAAACAAAAAAAACCAACTCTGATAAGAAGTACAGTACGCTGTATATCCTCACCAATAGGACTCCTGTAGTATATCTAAAGATAAGCGTAATCAAACATGAACAGAGGGAAAGGAAATCTCTTGTCAATCTTAAAATGGCTGGCTCAAACTAGCAACCCCTCAACTTGGGGTCGAGGACACAAGGTATAATATCCTACAAGGGTAGCCATGTTGGGTTCTGGGTCTCCAACCACCAACCATTTGGGGACTGAGTTCATATTTAAGGGATGAGAAAGTGCTGTTTGAAAATGAAGGCTTTATAGCAAGAGCTCCCAACCCAGTCCTCTAGTACCCACCCCCTACCGGGCCAGGATTTAGGGATTACCCTGTTGTGTCTAAAGTGTTTTTGTTATTTTATTTAATTTTCCTCTTCTAAGAACACCTTGCACACAACTGGACAATCCCTAAATCATGAACTGTTAGGGGGTACTTGAGAACCACCGCCTTATAGGATGTGTAGATTCAGAGGGCAGTTGAAGAAACATAGACCATTTACTTGATGTGTATATCAACAGAAACGAGCAGACTGTTTCACAATTGTGTTACAGGTGTGACTCCATGCCAACAATTTATCCGATTTGTGAAGTCAAAAAGGTGGGTTTGTGATCACCTCCTCTGATTTGAATTTGGAGCAAGTGGAAGGATTATACAATTCCCTGGAGGTTACAACAATGTGTTAGCTCATTCCATTCCCAAGCAGTAAGTCTACAAGTTCATATATGCACACATACTGTTCAAATAGGTGGTAAAAGTGCCCAAATGTTGGGGAATCGGTACAGCTTGGAACATAATAGCCAATAAAGAAAAGGTCCTCCAATTCAAGTCTGCAGACCTTTGTGGTGGTGTAATGAAGATACCTGTGTAATATGGACAACGTTGTCACAATCTGCAAGATTCCTGGTCTACTTCTACACTTCCTAGTGATATAATATTGGTTTTCAGTATGGGCTCCACATGCATTAGAATCAATGTGGCACATCTCCAAGCTGTGGCTGAAGGAGCAAGAATATCTATCTACTAATTGCAGCAGTAAAATTGCAGCTATTATAGTGCACACTGACACTGAATAGGTCTCAACCATGCCATGCAGTCATCATTCCTCATCTAGAATGGTATGCATTGACTCCAGAAGGGGAGTATATGGCATAGATGCCCGAATATGAGCAGTAGCTGGGAGAATGAGCCAGTTGCTGCCTCCATCTAGCTCCAGCACTTCTCACTTCAGAATGGAAGAAGCAACTGTTTCAGATAAAGAGGAAGAAGCCATGCCCTGGGGTGGCTGAGTGGGCTTGCCTGTGTGTTAGAAGAAAGGATAGAAGACTGGAGATTGATGCCTGGTTGGAAAGGTTGTGAGAGCTGTTTGGTACATTTACTTTATCAAATTAATTTCACTTGTCTGCAAAATCTCAAACATTGTGTGTGTGTGTGTGTACTCCATTGTGCACCTGCCCAGCAAGGAGCCACAGGAGCTCAGCAGCCACACTGGACCCCAGGGAAAGAATCTGCTCCAGCTCTCCCAAAGGTAGGGAGGCTGGGTGGATTTAAATAAAAAAATGTGAGTGTGTCAGTATCAGTGTGTTTGTCTATTGGTGCATGCCAGTATATGTATATCAGAGAGTTTGTGCCTGTCCGTAAGTGGGTGTGTTAGTGTGTGTCTGTCAGTGACATTGTGTGTTAGTTAATCAGTGTGTTTTTCTTAAGTGACTGTGTATCTGTTCTGTATCAGTGAGGGTGTGTGTTTGTCAGCCAGAGAGCGTGTGCCCCTTCATAGGAAGGGCTGGGGCAAATTTAGATTAGGGGGGAGCCCAAGGTTAGTCATGCCTAGGGCAGCACAAATTCAAAATACACCACTGGTGTGATGTCTAATATATGTCAAGGACCAGCCTGTTAGGAGCCAGGATAGGACCCTTTCAGACTGTGGATAGCAAGCAAAATGAGAAGATCTATTTGAGGGGTTAGGTATGGGTTAATTGGTAGAGGAATGTACCAATCGAAATTGGGAGGAAGATGGTTAGTTGGCAGGCAAATGAGGCAAACATCTAATTTGGGCAGGGAAAGGGTTAAAGGAACACTACAGGGTCATGAAAACAAACATGTATTCCTGTACCTATAGTGTTAAAAACACCATTTAGGTGGCTAGCCCTCCATAAAAGGTAAAAACTTACCTTAGTTCCAGCTCCACTCTGCCTCTGATCCACCTGCTTGCTGACATCATCAGAATTTATGATTGGCAAGAAGGCAGGGTGGGGTTGGGGCCAAACGCTGGCATGGCCAGTCAGTATCTCCACATAGAGATGCATTGAATCAATGCATCTCTATGAGGAAAGTTCAGCGTCTCCATACAGAGCGTGGAGACGCTGAACGGCAGTGTTGCAGCACTCCCCTAGGAAGCATCTCCATTTGCCATCTGAGGAGTGGCCACTAGAGGTGTCCCTAGGGGGCAATGTAAACACTGCCTTTTCTCTGAAAAGGCAGTGTTTGCATGAAAATGCCTTCAGGGAATGATTCTACTCACAGAACAACTACATTAAGCTTTAGTTGTTCTGGGGACTATAGTGTCTCTTTAATTGCCAAGGAAATGCGGCATTTTAAATTGGGGAGTGCAAGGGTTAACTGGCAGGGGGATATAGGCTATAGAGTTGGTTATTTGGCAGTGGCAAGTGTGGACAGTTTCGTGGAAGTAGAGGTTAATTGTCTTGAGCAATAGGGCCCCACCCCCTAAAATCTTGCACTGGGCATTCTGTTCTTTAGTTCCGCAACTGGTAGCACTGCTAGTATACGCTCTAGTCTTGTTCATTCCCAGAAAAATTCCCAAACCATCCATAGGTTGTGCGCCTTGGCAGTCGGGCACACAACATAAATTAAAAATAAAAACGGTTAAGAAATAAATCAAAAAATTGCACAATCCATAGCCACCATTTATGTAACTGCAAAAATCTCACTTTACAGTTGCACTTTAATGGAACGCTATTGCATTAGGAATTCAAAACTGTATCTGTATGAATCATTGATTTCCTACTGGGCTTTTACTTTGTCTGTGCAGTAGAAGTACTTCTAGTGGTGGACTAAAAGGGACATTATAGTCACCACAACTATTTTAGCTTAACAAAGCAGTTTTAGTATATAGATCATGCCCTTGCAGTCTCACTGCTCAGTTCTCTGCAATTTATGAGTTAAAGGGACACTATAGGCACCTAGACCACTTCAGCTCATTGAAGTGATCTGCGTGCAATGTCCCAGAACCCTTAACCCTGCAAGGGTAATTATTACAGTTTCTGAGAAACTGCAATTATTACCTCTCAGGGTTAACTCCACCTCTGGTGGCTGTCTACTAGACAGCCACTAGAGGGACTTCTGATTGGTTAGGCGATCAAAAGTTGCCTAAATGACGCTGGACGTCCTCACGCTGTGCATGAGAATATCAAGCATCAACCAAATCCCCATACGAGCACGGCACTTGCCACGCAGACGCATTAAGTCTCTTCCGTGGGGGAGGAGCATGGGCGGTGCCTGACCCAGCACCGAGGGAAAATCGGCACTGGGTTCATGTAATTGACTGAAGGGGTTTTTAACCCCCTAAGCGCTGCAGGAGGGGGGGCACGAGGGAGGGGGCACTGTAGAAGCCTCTACTTCCAGTAAAAAGACTTTGTTTTCCTGACACTATGGTATTCCTTTAAATCACTTTGTTTACACTGCCTTAGCCACACCTCCCTGCATGTAGCTTCCTGTAAGTGAGATCTAATGTTTACACTTCCTATATTGCACAGTCTAATTTAGAATGTCTTATCTCCTGCACTGTTAATAGCTTGCTAGACGTTACATGAGTTTCCTCTGGGTGATTCAAGGACAATTCACAGAGCAGGTGATAAAACTTCTAAACTAAGTTAACATCTGATTAAAAATGAAAACACTTTTGTTTTATGTAGGCTGCGTCAGTCACAGTCAGGGGAGGTGTGACTATGGCTGCATAAACAGAAACAAAAATGATTTAACTCCTAAATGGCAAAGACTTAAGCAGTGAGATTTCAGAGGCATGATTTATACACCAAAACTGCTTCATTAAGCTAAAGTTGTTTTGGTGACTATACTGTCCCTTTAACCCTGCAATGAGAACATTGCAATTTCTCAAAAAACTGCAGGGTCTTACACTGCAGGGTTTAACCCCTTAAGGACACATGACATGTGTGACACGTCATGATTCCCTTTTATTCCAGAAGTTTGGTCCTTAAGGGGTTAAAGGACTGGGACACTTTATTAAGATAAAGTGGTATGGATGACTATAATCTCCTTTAATGACTATAATATCTTCAGGCAAATTTCTGTAATGTCGGTAATAATTATTAGAAAATTCTACATAACTTGCTGCAAGGTTCTACATAACCTGACCTTTGATTAAAACATGGCATGATATGATTGTAGCCCATTAAATTAATGGAGTGCATATTACAGATAATATGCAATAAATGCAATCAATGTGAATATAGACAAAATTCTTGTGATTCCATCCATAGAACTCAAGCTGACCCAGCAGTACCTCCAGACTCCGCACACCAAGTGTCTGGAATCAACCGTCCAATGGGAAGGCTGGGTAGGATATTTGAACTCCTAGAGGGTGTGGCCATTCATTGAGTGTTAGAGGAAGGGTTAGTGTGTCAGTGAACTATTGTGTTACCAATATGGCTGTTTGGAGAAATGTGGTAAGTTCCCTCTGTTACATTGCAATGTACTCTATCTGCTTCAAGCACCTACTGGAGTTCATTTGACCTGCAGTGGGTAAAGAGTAGAACCTAAATCTTTTGAGCTACAACTACTCTCAAGCTTTCATTACTTTAAAACTGGCAAAGCCTCATGGGAGCTGTAATTTAGCAACCACATTAATTGCTTCAACTCTGTTTTAAGCAGTAACAATTTTAACTTATTTCTCATTCAAGTGAGTTGTCTTCATTCATATGGGGGGAAAAAATCTAGTCAAAAGTGATTTTTATATTCATGGTTTTTAGACCTAGCTCTTTACTTTCAAAAAGCTATGTAAATCGCATTACACTGGGTCCTGCACCAGTAGTCTGTAGGAAACTGTAACCAGACATGATGGTTGTTATAATTAGGTTATTGTAGTCCTCCCCACATGTAGGATAGATATTGATCACATCCCTGTTTAGTCCACATAAACTACAGCTGTAACCATGTTTTGTTTGTGATTTTATGCAGATCACAATGGCGTTGTATTAATTGCTTAAACGAACGCTATATAGTGTCAGGAACCCAAGGCATTCCTAAAAAACTATAGTGTTAAAATGACTGTTTAGATACTTGGGCCCCCTCTTTACTTTTAAAAAGGTGAGTTTTCTTACTCCCCCACACCCCCCCGCCTCCACGGCTGAATCGAATGAAATTTGATTTCTGCCATTGCAATGCTCTCCCTTGGGAAAGCTTTGGGGTGCTATTGTGCATGTGCTGCAAAATGCCACTCTGTGCCAATCAGCATCTCCTTGTACATTGTGTTAATGCATTTCTATGGAGTACATTCAGCTTCTCCATGCAGAGATCCTGAAAAGGCAGTGTTGGCATTTAAAAGCCTGCAAGGACATGCTATAGACACAGAACTATATTAGGCTCCGTCCCTTTAAAGTTGTTATCCAATGTACTATGGATTTGTTTGTCATTATATATATATATATATATATATATATATATATATATTTTTTATTTTTTTATTTTTATTTTTTAGCTGTTGGCTAACAACACTAGTTTACATTTTTAGAGAATGGTCATTGGGTTTTATACATTTACTTATTTTCCAAGTTATGTTTCAGTATAACAACAACAAACTGCTGTTGTTGGATTGTCTAGAGGGCGCTTGTCCCATACCTTAGTCCAGGGCTGCTTAAAACGCACATCCCTAGATGTTTTAAAACTACAGCTTCCATGATGCTTTTGTCATTCTAAAGGCATGCAAAGCATCATGGGAGTTGTAGTTCTGCAACATCTAAGGATCTACTGTTCGGGCACTCTTGCGTTAGTTTAATATAAATGAGGAATTACCCCCCTCTTGGCTGCATTGATTCTACTTCCACATTATCACTATTGTCCATGTTGATTGAAATTGACACACTGATGATAATAATACAGAATTGCTAATTCAATGTTATCAGTGCATCTGTGATGCATTAACAGAGGGACAAACTTTTTTTTAATTATATTTTTTTTGCTACACGTGCAAATCTCATTTCTTTAGCTCCCTCTGGAAGTGGACAATCACATCGCTGGTGAGATGGTGGCACTCAAAAACAGAATACGAAGACAACCTCTTGATGAGATTGGTAACTGCGCTGTGGTTCCAGTTGGCAAACCAGTGGCTGTGGTATATATTCACTTCACTAGCTTTATTAACTCTGGGTACCTTAGGCCTACCAACTATATCTAGTTGTTTTTTCCTTCTGTAGAACAAACTACCAGCCAAAACTAAGCGACATGGAGTTGCTAAAGTCACTGCACCAGCAAAAATAAAATTGCCTCCTGTACCAAAGACAGAGGTAAGATTTTTTTTTTTTTCCTTCCAAAAATGTATACTAATGATGTTTAACAAATACATGTTGATGTATATTTTGTTTCATTGAAAGAATATTAAAATGCAATGTTGAAAGTCTCTGGACACCATCTAATAACCATGCAAGAAGATGTCATTTTGTCTAAATGCAGAAAAATCCCAGACCCTAGCTCTGGCCAATATAACTTTAAACTCATCTCAGTTTTTGATAATTGTATTAGACAAACTTATATTTAGTGGGGGGGGCTACAATCTCAATTGGTGGGCGTGTGTGCGCATCTTAGGTCCTAACTTAAAGGGCTATCTTCGCAATGCATTAAAAAATGTAATCATAGACTGTGTAATAACTTCACATCAGGTAGGTGAATAATTTCTCACTAATGCCTCCACATGGAGGAAAACTTAACATTGTAGTATGGTTTATTTATTTTTTATGACCTATTCCTTGTGATAAAGAATCCTATTCCTACACCCATGGATTTATCTGTGAAAGAGGAAGAGTTTTGTCAGGCTTTTTCTGAAGCTCTGAATGTAGAAGATGTTGATGCTGAAGATATTGGAAACCCTCAGCTGTGCAGTGACTATGTGAAGGATATCTACACTTACCTGAGGCAACTGGAGGTGAGTACAAGTATTAACAGAGTATTGATAGTGTGCCCTGGATACATAGTGAATTAAATGCCTTCCTTCCCAAGGTCCAGCAGTCTGTGCGCCAGAACTACATGAAGGGAATGGAGGTGAATGAACGTATGAGGACTATCTTGGTTGACTGGCTAATTCAGGTCCATACAAAGTTTTCCTTGCTGCAGGAGACTCTCTACATGGCAATTGCAATTATGGACAGGTTCTTGCAGGTAAGTATCCCTGTAATGTTCCCAGTTACTAAAAGGGTTAAGTTGCAGTGATTAGGTGCTTCTGGATAATATCGAGTTAAGGGGAAACTATGCATAATGACTGTTGTACAAGACTTGACATTTTACTTTTCTATGCTACTGAATGTGGCTATAGTATACCCACACCACATACAGTGTTTTTGTCACTGGAATGAATGGGTAACTTTTGCTAGTTTATTGAATGATTTTATAAAAATACACAGAATACCTAAGTGTGTATTCTTTTCTCTAATGGTAAAAATTCTAGGACTGGGAGTTCAGCATTAAAGGGACATTATAGTCACCTGAACAACTTTAGCTTAATGAAGCAGTTTTGGTGTATAGAACATGCCCCTGCAGCCTCACTGCTCAATCCTCTGCCATTTAGGAGTTAAATCCCTTTGTTTATGAACCCTAGTCACACCTCCCTGCATGTGACTTGCACAGCCTTCCATAAACACTTCCTGTAAAGAGAGCCCTATTTAGGCTTTCTTTATTGCAAGTTCTGTTTAATTAAGATTTTCTTATCCCCATTGTTCATTGTTAATAGCTTGCTAGACCATGCAAGAGCCTCCTGTATGTGATTAAAGTTCAATTTAGAAATTGAGATACAATTATTTAATGTAAATTACATCTGTTTGAAAGTGAAACCAGGTTTTATTTTTTTTTTTATTTTTTTCATGCAGGCTCTGTCAATCATAGCCAGGGGAGGTGTGGCTAAGGCTGCATAAACCGAAACAAAGTGACTTAACTCCTAAATTGCAGTGAAATAGCAGGGGAATGATCTATACACTAAAATTACTTTATTTAGCTAAAGTAATTTAGGTGACTATAGTGGTCCTTTAAGTTTTCATTAAAAAGCTACAAAATAATCATACACATGGGGAAAATGCTACCTACAAGTTTGCAAACTTTACACTGTAGACCATTATTGGCACATGCTGCCAAAGATGGCGATAATCTCTGTATCACTAGCCAGTAGAGAAGAGTTTTTGGCAAAACTAATGTCCTCATGGGCATCAGATACCAGCATGCTTGTGCAGTCAGTGGTCATCTGGACACCCCTTCTGTCCAGCAGAGAATTATCAGGCTGGTTTGGGGGGAATGGAGGGGGATAACACACAGAAAGGGCTATTCCAATAAAAATTATATTAAAAACAAAACAAAAAAGGTATTTAGTTGGAGTAATACTGTATAAAAAAAATAAAAAAAAAATCACTAATACTTGAATAATTTCACTTATATGTACTTTTGTGTAGTGTGGATGGGAAGGCATGCATGTTCTTTGGCCCAAATAAAATTCAAGCTAACCTAGTTTTAAAACTCTAAAGTTTCAGCCAATTTCCCGTAACAAGCTCCAGCTGGTTGGGGTTGCATCAATGTTCATCGCTTCAAAATACGAAGAAATGTACTTCCCAGAGATTTCAGACTTTGTATACATAACTGACAACACCTTCTCCAAAGCTCAAATCAGACAAATGGAAATGCTGATTCTCAAGGAGCTTAACTTTAACTTGGGAAGACCAATACCACTACACTTCCTCAGGAGAGCATCAAAATGTATCAATGTGAGTACTTTTAGAGTATTGGAGAATCCAATAACACTGCTCAGCAAACATTACTATTTCAGTGGCAGCCTTGTTAAATGGTTTTGTGATCATTACAGGCTGATGCATTGAATCACAATCTGGCAAAATACCTGATGGAGCTCACCTTACTAGACTACGATATGGTCCATTTTCATCCATCACTTGTAGCCTCTGCTGCACTTTGTCTTACACAAAAGATTCTCAACTCTGGCACATGGGTGAGTCCTTTAATATGAGATTGCATACCAATACTATTGTGCAGTGTTCATGTGACCACTACATGCTGGCATAATCTGTTAAAACCGATTTCTCAATCTCTCCACCTCTTGTATTTGTGTGTATTGTATGTTCTCCACTAATTGTACAGTGCCGCGGAATCTGTTGGCACTTTATAAATACCAGTGATAAATGTTTTTACCACTGAGATTGACGGTCACTAAAATAACTTTGATTTCTTACAGGATCCCACACTGCAGTTTTACACCGGATACACAATTGATGACCTGCTCCCTGTTATGAAACATATTGCAAAGAATGTATTTAAACTGAGCCATAGCTTGACCAAATTTGTTGTAAGTATCTATGACCTTAAAACAAATATTTCTTCTGGGGCTATGTATAGGTTTTTGGAAAATATAAGTTGGTTGAATCTGCAGTTGAGGATATGTTCTATTTTTAGAATAAGGGCTAGTAGCCCGTGGGATAAGGTATGAACCAACTCTTCCATGGTGGATCTGCATCTCAATGTGTAATCCCTGATGTTCCCCCACCCAGAAAAATTATGGTTGTGATGAGAATATTCCATAGTTCAGGGGTAGGCAACCTTTGGCACTCCAGATGTTGTGGACTACCCCTCCCAGAATGCAGTTACAGCCATAATGCCAGCAAAGCCTCAGGGGAGATGGTGTCGAAGATTGCCTACACTACACCAGGTGTAGGCAAACCATAAGGTGCTAGGTAAATGGAGGTGAAGATTCTTCAGACAAGCAAAACCTATTGAGTATCACGAGGGGTGTAAAGCCTGTTGTAGAAACCCTTAATAGGCTTTGTTTTGATTGTATGAATTGTAGCAGAGCACCAATACCTGGACTCTGTATCTCCACTGGATTATTCCTCTAGCTGGAAAAGAGCGTTGTGTAGTGTTATAGCCCTTTTTTCCCCCACACATCAGACGATACTTGATGTTGGGACAATGTCCCCTTTTATACAGACCCCAGCAGGGGTCTCCATTGACTGTATAGGCAGTCCTTCCCTAACATCTGTGTCGGAGACTATTTATTTAATTATTTGGCGATTTAAACAAATTATCTGACACAGAAGCCAAAAATACAATAATCCCCCAAAAATTGATAAAACAACCCTGAACCACCCACATGTGACACATTGCTGGACAGGTCTGATCTGAGCACCTATTCTGGCAAGAGTGCTCGATTCAACAAAGAATTGGGGAAACTTCACAGGTTCAAAGTCTTGAGCAGCAGTTTGATAAATCCTGCCTGAAATTAGTTCCACAAGTTTAGTGCTAACAGTCGGTCAATTTTATGGGTACTCCTGTGAAGTGAAACAAGGAGGTTCCCCTGGCTTTCAGGGAGTGATCATTCCATAGTGTCTGCTGTACCTCTCCCTCCAATTGGCACTCTTTTAGACTAAGTGGAAGTGGGTAAAACTGTGATGAAACTTGACTGGGAGGTGATGCTGACCATGGCCAATCCAGCACTCCATATAACTACAGCCAGGTCCTGATGGCTTGCTCTAGCTCCCTGAAACATGCACAGTGTGGGAGTGTGCTTTGGTATAGTACAGGGAGGGAAGGTAGGAAAAACCAGGGTTGGTGACATAGTCCTTTGGGAACACTTTAGAAAACTAGCAAAATGTTATCAAAATTACAAATAAATAGGGCCACTTCAGGTTTGTGTTCAATATTCTGGACTGGTTAATGTCAGTCCTATGCAAAATGGTCATCTGACGGCACTCGCCAAATGCTGGCGCCAATGGCAGCATGGCTCAACTTCTTGGTGCTGCCCGAGTATGGAACAGACAAGTCTTGGTGTTAAGTTTTAACTTTGGTGTGGACTACATCAAAAAGGGTTACTCCAACCAGAACGTGTTTTATGGATTGGAGTAGCATCTGGTGATGCTGGGACAAATTCTTGCACACTGTGCATGAGGTGGTAAGATATAATTTCAATGACCATTTGTTTTCAGCAAAGCTAACAAGTGTCAGTTCTCAGCATAGCGATAAATTTAAACTTATTTTCTGGGTTTTCCTGTATAGTACAAGATCCAATAGTAATCTGGTATACCTTCAGGTTTTGGATTTAAAAAATGCAAATCCTATCTTGCATAGCAGTCATATGTGAAAAATGACTGTTAAATCAGACACCAAATGGTACCAACCAGATTTGCTGTTGGTAAATGAGTGGCAAATATGGCTAAAGTAAAAAAAATTAATGCACTTTGTAAATCAAGGAAAAATGTAACTTTTTACACCAACTGAATACTGGAAAAATTCTGAAACCTGAACGTTTCAGCTCCGCTAACTTAGAATAAAAAGATGGAACAGTATTTTCTTGGCAGCCAAATAACCTGTAGTTCACAAGGAATACTACCTTCTGTTTTATTGCTCTGCAGTTATATCACTGTGTTCTTTGTTTTTTCTTTTTAGTCTGTGAAGAACAAGTATGCCAGTCATAAATGGCTGAAGGTCAGCGTCCTCCCACAGTTGTCTTCTCCGATCATTTCAGAACTTGCCGCCTCTCTGACCAAACTCTAAAGCTTTGTAGAGGATGTCTTAAATGGTTCACTTTACATAATTATGTAGCTCAGCATTGGTTTTATTTACTAAAAACAGGCATTGCAAGTTTGAGGGTAAATAGAATCGTTTAATGTATGATGTAACATTTCAAAGCAGTAATTAACCTTGGCACCCGCATGTTGGGAAATTGCACTTCCAATGACGCTAAAGCAGCCTTTAGGGTTTACATCAATTTTAATCTTAAATGCAAAAAATGAATCCTTATGTTCTGTTTCTTGCAAATATCAAATTTTACTTTCCGTTTGTTTCTGACATTCAAATTGTCCATAGTCTTGGTGGATGCATGGTGCTTTTTACCATGAAGTGCTTGGATAGCTGCCATCAGAGAGCATCACCTAGGAGGCACACTGAATATACAAATTACAAAGGCTACAATGCATGAAATGGATCAATCTTAATTCTAGTTTTTCTTAAATTCTCATTGTCACGATCTACTTTATTTGCTCTGTGGAGGCTTCTACAACCTCCAAGTAAAGATCAGGCCAGAGAAGAAAGAGTTCTCCAAAGATAACATTAAAGCTAGTGAAATGGCTTAATATGTACATAAAATTACAAATGCAGAGCATGCTATGGCTTGTCAAAAATAACTTGTTTCTGAAGGCTGCATGTGACACTACCATCTTATGCCCTACAGTCAGGAATTTCTGTGTAGTTGTCAGACGTGTGCTGTTTACGTGATGTTGCCCTGCAGATCATCTCTAAACTCTTTAACTCTGAATGAAAAGTGCTTGTACATTTCCCAACTACTGCCAAGTACATGTTTAGTTTTATTGTAAAATGTTTTTTTTAATGTTAAACAATGTCTTATCCTTTGGGAAATAAAGATTATTTTATTCTATGCTATGAGTCTGTATTTTAATTTTTTTCTGTAGTTTGAATTTTTAAATAGGTCATAGTGGCATTAATAAAAGTTTACAGAAAATGGAAGGAATCTCAGTACTTCAGTACCAGATGCCTGCAATCACCATCTGTGTGCAATTTTTAAATCCTGCAGTTTACAACAATGCATTCAGGCTGACACCCCTTGGGGACATCTTACAAAAGGTTTACCAAGTTAAAGGAACACGCCATGTACTAGAACCACTGCAGCATTCTATAATAGGCATGGTAAAAGCAGAGCCCTGGCACTCCTTTACTGTAAAGTAATAACCATTTTAAAACACTTTGACTTCTTAACTGGGCTGGCTGGGTGTTGGGGGGGCCCCCCCCTCTGTCTCCTACATCTGACAAGTGGAAATTGTCTGAGCTAAGACCAGATTAACAGAAGCTCCTAGGCAGGGACCTCGAGCTGACCTTTACCAGGCTCCACTCCCTGCCTCAACTACATTCAACAAACCGTTACTTATAATAAAGGGTGCTATTGTGCTTCTTGCACCATAACCACTACAGTGTACTCTAGTGCTTAAAGTGTTCATTTAAAAGGGGCACACAAGCTAAACTTGAATCTTGTAGATCCTGGGGGGAGGTGGAAGTTTCCTCCCATGAGTTTGGCAATTCGGAGCATTGACTCTGGTTAGCATGGCAACGCTCCAAGGATCTTGCGGGAGAACTAACCTCTGCCTGCAGGGGACATACAGTTTGTTTATACATTTATTTTTTAACTTTTTGAATTACCCATATTCCCCCAATATATGGGCACTGCGCCCCCTGTCACATAGAGCATCCCACACCGCAATATGGGGAGTCTTTTAAAAAAAAAAGTGCCCACATAGGATGTCAGTGGCTGTATGTGTGTCAGAGTATGTATAATTAAGTGTCCGTGTGCGTACATGCAGGGCCAGATTAACATAGGGGCTGATGGAGCTGCATGCCCATGGAATAGGCCTAATGATTTAAAAAAAAAAAAAAATATTTTTTACTCACTACTCTTAGGTTTGCCAGGTATTTCTCATGTATTTCTTATGGTTGCCAGGCATTTCTCAGAAGTATTTGAGGCTGGTGCCGGTACTGCAGTAATAAACAGATTATTCTGCAATACCAGCGCCGGCCAGTAGGAGTCTGTGTGGAGAGGCAGGGATAAGAAGTTACAGCATCTCCCTCCCTGCCTCTCTCTACTCACTGTTCCGCGGGGGAACAGCTCTGCACAGATAGGCCAGACAGCAGCTGCGAGACTTGGGGATGCTGGGAGACATAGGGACACTGGGGAACATGGGGCCCCTGAGACACTAGGGACACAGTGGCCCCTTGTCTCTGTGTCCCCATGTCTCCCAGCCAGTGTCTCAGTGTCCCCATGTCTCCCAATGTCCCTGGTTTTTCTGTGTCCCCATGTCCCTCTGTGTCCTTGGGGTCTGTGTCCCTAGTCTCCCAGTGTCTCAAGTGTCCCAATGTCTCTAAGTGTCCTAGTGACATCGGGAGACATGGGGACACAGACTTTGAGGGACACTAGTAGACATAGGGATACAAACACTGGGCGACATGGGGACACTGGGCGACTTTGAGACCTGGGAGACATGGAGCACTCCCAGTGTCCTCATGTCTTCCAGCAAGTGTCCCTAGTATCCCCATGTCTCCCAGTGTCCCTGGTGTCTATCAATGTCCATAGTGTGCCAGTGTCTCAGTGTTTCCTAGTCTTCCAAAGTCCCCTAGTCTCTCAGTGTCCCCAGTATAAAAGAAAAAATTTCAGGCACTCACTGTGATAGATTTAAGCAAGTTTATTGGACACTGCAGGTCTTTATCAAGTCTCCAGTGTCCCCTATGTATCAGAGTGTCTCAGTGCCCCATCTCTCCCAGTGTCCCTGGTGTCTGTCTGTAGTGTCTGTGTCCCCATGTCTCATAGTGCCCCCAAGTGTCCCAGTGTCCCCTAGTATAAAAGAAAACAATCTCAGGCATTTACTGAGATAGATTTAAGCAGGGTTTTTGGACACCGCAATGTTTTGACCTGTACCCAGGTCTTTATCAAGTCTTCAGTGTCACCTATATATCACAGTTTCCCCTATGTATCACATTGTCTTAGTGCCCCATGTCTCCCAGTGTCCCCTCGTGTCTCAAAGTCACCCAGTGTCCCCAAGAGTCTGTGTCCCCAGGTCTCCCAGTGTTCCTGAGTATCTGTGTCCTCAGGACTCCAAGTGTCCCGATGTCTCTCAATGTCCCCTAGTGTCCTAGTGACATGGGGACACTGGGATACATGGGGACACAGACACTAAGGGACTGGGAGACATGGGGACACAGAAATGCCATCTTTTTTTGTGTATGTTCGTCCTAGTTCTGGTTATGTGATTTGTGTCAGTGGCCCACCCTTTTACCCCATCCATAGACTTCCTGATTTACTGGACACTGCTGTTAGGGGGTATGGGTTTACTTGCAAGCGTGAGATTAGCATAGGGTATGTGTTTTCTCATAGCTGCATCCTATTAGTTTCCCTCCAGCACCATCTCCATCAGATAGATGATTCTTAGGATGTAGGACTGTTTTAGTGTTTTTGGTCAATAAGGTTTTGTAATTAGGCCCATCATAATTGTCAGCACCAGGCCCAGTGGGCTCTTAATCTGGCCCTGCGTATATGTCTATCAGTGTGTATATGCATATGTGTCAGGGTGTGTATCTGTGTCTCAGGATAAGTTTGTGCATGAGGATGCGTGTCAGGGTATGTATCAGTTTATTAGTATGTGTCAGTTTACGTATCTTTAAGTGGATGTATAGGTATCTGTTGTGTCATACGTACACTGACACACATGCAGATACGTATACTGACAAACATGCAGAGATACAGACACATATATACATACACTGACACACTTAGATACATACCCTATGTTTCTATGTATGTGTCAGAGTATGTATCGCTGTGCAGCTGCATGTGTGTCAGTGTGTATCTGTTTGTCAGGGTGTGTATCTCTGTGTATCTGCATGTTTCTGTGTGTATCTGTGTTTCACTGTATTTGCATGTGTGTCAGGTTGTGTATGTATGTGCATCATTGTGTCTGTATGCCTGTGTATCTGCATGTATGTTGGTGTTTGCATCTGTGTATCTGCAGGTGTGTGTATTTGTATCTATATGTGTGTCAGTGTTTGTGTATCTGCATGTGTGACAGTTTGTGTGTATGGGGCAGAGGAGTAGCAGGGCTTGCCTAGGGCAGAGAGGAAACAGGGAGAGCCTGGGGCAGAGATAAAGGGAATATGGGACAGAGAAAAATGTATAAATTTGAAATAAATGCAACTTTTAATTACAAACATTTTGTTAATGGGCTCTCACAGCTGGACTGGGTGTTCATCCATGCCAAACCTCCGTCTCCAGCCTCCAGGGTGGGCATTGGCTGACTCAAGCAGACTGTCAAGGGGATTTGCATCACCCACCACTGCCCGGCTGCACAGCCCAAGGTCTATGCCTCTAACTTTCATTGTTTAACTGTTTTATATTTCTCTCTTGCTGTAGCCTTTAGTTCTTGTGCCCATCAGCTCCAGATTCCCTCACTAGAAATAGTGGACAGCCACCAATGGACGCTACGAAATCAGACATTAGCCACTAGAGAGCTTCACAAAATTTTGCCTACATAAACTACCCTGTTTGTATACTCAGCGATACACTCAAGCATTTTATGCATTTCACTCTGCTTAGCAATAATGATTTGAATTTGATCCCACTGACCGCAAGCTCCATATTGAGCAGAATAAGGCTCTGCGGGTTACATTGCTCTCCACTTCCTAACCTATATAACTCCCACTGGATGAGCAACACACTGCCACTTTTCTTGTTTTAATATATCAATATGTCAATCTCAGAGCAATACCAGTGTACACATAATACTGATACAGATGTATCTATCTTTCTAGCAAAGGTGTGCAACCCCATGCTGCTCAGTACCAGAACTACCCCATCTTGTTGGCTACAGCTAAGCGATAACTGCCCACTAATAAGTCTAACCGTATTATCTTTTTGCATGGTTAATCTTTATTATTATCACTACTTAATTAGTCTTCAGATGAAAAGGCATGTATTACCCCAAAAAACAAGTGCAACGATTCTTCACCTTATCTGTTTACCTGCTGTCATTATGCATCCTGTCAAATGTCAATATATAAGCCTGTACTTCTCACTGCACTCAAAAAATAAAGAATTTAAAAAAACAAACAAACAAAAACAACATTTTGCTAATGGGAGGGTTACAGTTTATGGAAATGGGCTGCCAAGGGGTACTCAAGTAAAAAAAAAGGTTGGGAACCACTGTTCTAGTGTGATTCTCCCCCTCAATCATTGCATAAAGTCAAAGGCGTGATGCACACAAGTAAGTTTATGTGGGAGCTCTGTGGAGGGAGGTCCGCAGTCCATCAGGAACAAGAAGAAATTGAGTTTCACAGGTGTCTCAAGGTAGGTTGAAGGCAAAAATATATATATATTTATTGGAGATCAAAAAGGACCAAAAAAAAAAAAAAAGATAAGTTTCGGCCTAGAGGTTTTCTACGGGCTATATACATGACTAAGGCCTCTAGGCAAAAACCTAATTTTTTAAAATGTATTTTGGGGGGGGGGGGGCCTTCACCCTATATTGTGATGCCTGTGGAACTCTATCCCCTCACTCCTTGTTCACGTAATGATTTTTGACCACTTAAAACTACCCGTTATAGCTAAAATTTATTGCAATTGTGATTCTGCTTTTAGTTCACTTATGGACGTGTATTTGCTGACTACTTCTATAAGTTAAGCATAGAGTAAGAGCCAGCAGATGGGTTGCTGCATGGAATTTATGAATTAAGCCCATTTTAAGCACTACAGTCTTAAAGTGGAACTGCCACTGTCAGGGCCGATGCAAGGATTTCTGCCGCCCTAGGCAAAGATCCATTTAGCTGCCCCCTCATGTCACTCTCTCACACACACACACTCTCACTGACATACATACACACACACAGGCAGACACTCACTGACACAGACTCAGACATCCAGCCTCCTTACCTCCCTGGGGTCTAGTGTGGTACAGCTCCTCACTCCTCAAGCGCGCTGTTTAGTATGCCGGGGCCGGAATGACGTCATATTCCGGCATCACAGAGGGCGCGAAGGAGGAGTGGGAAGCTGCAAGAAGAGCCTCCTTTGCCACCTACCTGCCTCCTCTCCTCCGGCATTCATTGGCAGAACAGGCACCTGCCATCAGGATGCCTGCTCTGTCATACTGATTTAAGGACAGTTTCAGAGGACGCCCTGAGGTGGTCATATGGCCACCTCCTGGGCCCCCTGTGACAAAGCTTCTCCGAACGTCTGGAGGATTGGCCAGGCGCTGAGGGAGGGCGGCTCTAGAGCCGCTTGCCCAGCGCTGCAGCTCAGGACAGAGGGAGCCCTTAACAGTGGCGCCGCCCCTGGCCACTGTCTAGGGCAGTAATGGCTAACCTTGACAATATAAATTGTTTCTGGACTACATTTCCCATGATGCTCAGCTAGCTTTTAGACTCTAAAAGCTAGCTGAGCATTATGGGAAATGTAGTCCAGAAACAATTTATGGTGTCAAGGTTAGCCATCACTGGTCTTAGAGACTTTGCCAAACTGTTTCAAAGGTGAGAACTTGCCTCAACCTGTCCCTTGCGGATGCTGCCATCTTCCAGCCAGTCCTCTTCTCTACCAGGAGTAGATGTCACTGCTGTAATATCACTAGTGTGCAAGATCCTCCAAAGATAATGCAAAGTCCTTGCAGCTGTCTTCATATACATCACGACTGGGTTGTAATTACAGTGAAATTTCAACCCTGACAATATGAGAATTTCATAAATATTCCATCTATTTCGGGGTGGGGTTGTAACAGTGCAGGTGAAATAAAATCTGTGACAGAAGCCCCTATGCCATGTCCTTTTGGAGAGGCTTGAAGGTCAGCCTCTTGCCCGCAAACTATGGGACTAGTCCCAAGAGCCCTTGAAAGGGGCTTGTGACAGTAGCATTTGATATAAAGCAACAATGAATCATTTGTATAACTCTGCAGTGCTCTCTGCTGCCTCAATATCTACATAATGCTGATATGCAAACTAGGGCAACCAAAAAAGTATTTAATTGTGTGTATACAAACACACTAAAAAGCATTTAATATATATGCTTTTTAGTGTGTTTGAAAATGTTACTAATATAAATAGTTAATGTATTAATTATAATTGCTTGTTCTCTATATTTATATTTTAAATGCTTGTCACGACATGTTTAAGGATGTCACCAAAGGCTAGCCCTTGTCCAAAATAAAGCATTGTGTGTTTGTTCCTTTTGTAACTGTGCGTCATGGTTTGTTATTTGGGGATCCCAGTAACTGTCTTCAGACCTGTGGGCTGGCTGCTTGGTACCTGGATCCTGGGATAAGTCAAAAGAACTAGGCCTTAGAGCCACAACTGGTTTTGTAAAGGCAGTAGCTGTTCACAGTACAGGCAGAGATGTGGATACCTGCCTGGGAAAGGCAGAGGGGACGATACCTGCCTGGAAGAAGAGAGCTGCAGCCTGGTTGGGTGGAAGAGTTCTTGAGACCACAGTAAAGCTTGTTGACGGAATCTGAAGTGCTCCAGAATCCCGTGTGGCAGCGCGGAAGCAGTCTTGGCCTAGGTACTCGGTAGGTGTACAGGAGCTCTGTCACACCAACTTACGTCGAACCTAAAAGTAGGAAGGAAAGGAAAGTATAAAAGCATTACAGTTTAATTTAAGGTATTAAAATAAAAACCTGAATTATTTTTCTTTATTTTGTAGAGACTGTATTGAGATCAAGCTGCCAGCACTACTCTAAGAGAGCAAAGGTGGTTGCCTTAGGACACGACAGTCTCTAAGGGCTTGTTTACAATTTTGTCACTACGTCCTTCTTGCTAATATGCCTGTTGCAACTTTCAGCAAGTAGTGGCTGGTTATCGACTACCATATTTCACAAGTAACTGTAGAGTAGTGGTGGCCGCTACTTAAAATAAGTTGCTATGTAAGAGTTAACAGCTTTTATTATCTATGGGTGATGCTACTCGGCAACTGTTTCCAACACTGTCTTTACTCCTTAATGGTTTCTGCTAACCCTTAAAACTTACACAAATACGGACTAATTACTAAAGTGGACTGCAAAATGCATCTTTGTCTGTGTAGCCAAAACTCCTTAATCCAGTAATACCATTATTTGTCTTTTATTTCTCTTCAATGGGATATGTAGGTGAACGGTAAAGTGTTCCTCAAACCCAGTCCTGAATATGGCCATTAGGTGTGGGGTAGGCATGCACATGAATAAGGGGAACCTGGCACTGGTTCCTCTCCTTGCATTTACCCATGTGCAGTGGAATTGACTACATCAATGGGGGAGTGGACATGGCTTTTTTCACCCTCTGCTCCCACCTGTTGGTAGAGGGTGAAGGCTATTCCGTTATCCCCTTGCACCCATTAGCAGTGGGTGGAGGGGCAATATAATAAATTGAGTAAAGGGCTTCAGCTGATGTTCCCAGCCTATCAGTGGTATCTTGTTCCGAGGCTTCTTGATTTAAACTTTGGACCAAGAAAGGAAGCAGAGGGGCAGAGCAATAAGTGGTGTCCTCCAAAGGTTGGGGTTAAACAGTTCATTAGTGGTTTAATCCTTTAAGCTAAGATGGCACCTGGGGCCTCATTGCACCATAACAACTTAATTGCAATGAATTTAGTATGATGCCCAGTGTCCCTTAGTGGACTGAGTACAGGATACAAAATGCAGTATCTTTCATTTTGGTCCCCTTGTCCTAGCGCAGCAATAGCGAACCTATGGCACGCGTGCCACAGCTGGGACGCCAAGCCCTCTCTGTGTGCACGCACCTGTAGGCAGGCGCCTACTCTGCTTTTGTTTAGTTGGTGCGTGGTATGCAGTGGCGGATCCAGGTGGGGGCAACGGGGCAATTGCCCACCCCCCCATCCTCCTTTGCAGAGCTGTTAAGGAGGAAGGGGGGAAGGAGTCTCTCAGTCTTCTCCTCTGCATCTGCCCCGAATCCCGGCTTTTAGAGCGTTACCGTGGTTACCACGGCAACGTTCAATTCCACGTGGTGCCGGGACCCGCGGGAAGTGCATTCACCTGGCAAAGCCACAGAGGTGAAGATTGAGACCCCTTACCAGGGAATACAGTGCCACCGGATCACCAGGGAAAAAAGCTGCGCCCTCCCTGGAGGCAGGTAAGAAACAGGGAGGAGGAAAACACTAAAAAAAAAAAAAAAATACATTAAAATATAAAAAATTCAAAAAATATATGACATAATAAAATTAAAAAGATGCTACCCTCTCAGACCCTGCAACACTCAACCCCAATCATAAACTTCAAAGTCTCTCTCACACTACACACACTGCACCCCTCACAACCACACACACTGCACCCCTCACAACCACACACTGCAGCCCTCACAATCACAGTGCGTGTTGGCACTTTGAGGAAAACAAAAAGTTGGTTTGTATAGCGGCTTGGGCACTCGGGCTCAAAAATGTTCGCCATCACTGTCCTAGCGGGTAAATACAATTCTAAACAATAAACCCCTATCATTTATGGTCAGGAGAAGGAAAATAAATTAAAATGGTCAAATAAAATATTGAATCTGAGAAAAACTGATTTCCTGAGATCACCCTCACTAGACACAGACCATTTTTTTGACTTTGCAAAAATATTTGTAAATTAAATGCAAAATTGCAGTTTGAAAATATGGATAAAAAATAGTTGGGGTCAAATTCAGAGATCATATCAAGCTATTCTAAAAACCAGAAATGAGTCTACAAGTGGTGACTGTTCCAAAACGGACTAGTCCTCCCAGCTTGTAGAGAATAACACCTTAGTAGACACTCCAGAAGTGTCGTGGAGCATAACCCCTATGCGTGAAACGATAGGAACACTCCGACTACTGGATATAAAATCCAGATCGTAGAGTATCAACTGGAATTCAAATTAAGAATAATGAAACGTTGAAAATAATATATCAAAAATGAAAAAAATACTGAATTAGAAAATAACAGTATCTAACCGTGCTCCCACTTTGGAAGGTCAGAAGCAGATAAAAATACAAACTACCGCCAATAAGCTCACCTCCAACTCCCTTGGCACTATTAATAACTGTCAAAAAAATATATAATTATATATATGTTCAGACTCCGGACTTTAATAATCCACAAGGTCTCTGTCTGTAACTAAATATAAATGTGCAAAGACCAGGAGCCTTATCAGGAACCAGATCCCTCTGAACAACCCTCAAAAATATCAATAGCTTAAATAATGAGTGTAGCAAAGAAATAATGGTAATCAGTGCTACCTGATTAAGCTAGGGGTATCTGCGGACCATAAGGGGTGAATACAAAACTAGAAATGTATGGAGGTAAACCACCCATACTGTATAACTGCAAGTTAGATAGTGTGTTTCATACAGTGCTTAAATGACACAGCGTATCTATTTGTCACTCAAAAGCAATTAGGAGTTTAAACATTTAACGAGTATTGCGGACTTCGGCTAAAGAATCCAAGCATCACTGAATAGCTTAGTCTCTCAAAGCCTTACCCCTCTTTAAACTTGCTAAAAAGCTGCAATTAGTAGCTAGGAGTAAAGCTTAGACTACAAAATCAGAGAATCTTTACCAAGCTAACGTCACTCTAAATAAACCCCACCATTATATTGCAAATGATCGTGAGATATTCACCCCTAAAGACAGGTTCAGGATTAGGAAGGAGGAAAAAGATAAGCGAAAACTATGACATATAAGTGTGCAGAACCATACTTAGATTGTTGGTTACCTGCACAAGGTGATAGAGTGCTCAGTGAAAACTAGTGAAATAATAGAGAAAAACCCGACGCGCGTTTCGGTGCCACAAGAATGCACCTTCGTCAGGGGGTAAATCTGTACTGACCTAATCATCCCTTTTATATCCAAGGTGCCTTGCTGAAATGAAAGTTTAAGCCATTCGGTGAGTAGCCATCCATTTTCAGGCGCTCTCTGACAGAATTAACTCTTTACATCCCTAATTCCAAGGGTGCCCAAATCTATCATTTTACCAGTGAGTGACTATGAATCTTATTGGAGGAAGGTGCTTTATGCTTATCTCACCGGAATACTCCGGTTGTGATCTACTACTTATTTTGCTTGTGGACTCATAAAATTATATTAAGGAGCCTTTTTTTACTGGAAACGGGCTACTGTACAGCAAGGTGGACTGCAGCTGATTAAATGTCTGGCTCCCAAAAATGTACTTGACATCTCTTAAGTCCAATATACTGATACTAGAGCATTATATTCTGCTCACCTCCACCATGCCTTATATGAATAATAGTCCATGCTGAGCTCGCCTGGATATAAACAGAATGAATATACCAGGCTGCCTGAGCTCTAATGCCCCCAATTATATTGGGGTGCCCACCAAATTAAGGTTATATATATCTATAAAATCGCTATTCATGTCCCCATGGCAGTGCTTCGCCAAGAACTACGTTCAGTAGTACCGCTAGCTAGTCACAAAATCAACAGCATCCAATAAGTCGGTATCCACCTGGTATGCGTCTGCATCATAAAGCAGCCGAAAGCCATGTATAACACGATCTCCTAGACATATATAGTGGGAGGCTATTCCGTACGGGTGCGGACAACGGACAGGAGGTGGTCATGGGCAGAGCAGAGAGACCGAGAAGGGACATACCTATGTGAAGATCTGTGAGGAGATATAAGAGGGGCTAGAGTTGTTCAGTGCTTTATAGGTGTGAATTAGTACCTTGAATTGACTCCTATGGAATACAGGAAGCTAATGTAAGGACTGGTAGAGGGGTTAGGTGTGATAGAAGCGACTAGAGAGGAAAATCAGTCTGGCAGCAGCGTTCATTACGGACTGTAGCGGTGCAGTACAGCTTTTGGGAAAACCAATCAGGAGAGGGTTACAATAATCCATCCAGGAAATTACTAGAGCATGGACAAGCTCCTTGGTAGTATCTGGTGGGGCGGATGCGGGCTTCGTTTTTAAGATGGAATCTACAGGATTTGGCAACATGCTGGATGTGAGGCTCAAAGGTGAGGCCAGAATCAAGTATGACGCCAAGACAGCGCACTTGCAAGGATGGACTGATGTGGATACCACAAACTTGAAGGGAGAGCGAAAGAGGAGGATCAGTATCAGGAGGAGGAAAGACAAGGAGCTCAGTTTTAGAGAGATTGAGTTTCAGAAAGCAGGAGGACATCCAGTCAGAGATGGAAGAAAGGCAAGCAGTGACACGGTGCAGGACGGCAGGGGAGAGGTCCGGGGAGGAGAGATATAACTGGGTGTCATCAGCGTACAGGTGGTAGTGGAATCCAAAAGAGGTAATAAGTTTGCCAAGAGAGGCTGTATAAAGAGAAAATAGAAGGGGACCAAGGACAGAGCCTTGGGGGACTCCAACCGAGACAGGACGAGGGGAGAAGGTATCATTAGAAAAAGAGACACTGAATGAGCGTTGGGAGAGATAAGAGGAAAACCACGAGAGGACAGAGTAACAGAGACCGAGTGATAGAAGAGTTTGAAGGAGAGCATGATCAACGGTGTCAAAGGCTGCAGAGAGTGGCCTTTGGATTTAACTGCGATTAGGTCGTTAGTAACTTTGATATGCAGACTAGACGCAGGGGAAGGCATCCTTCGACACTGCAGATGTTTTGGACTACACCTCCCACCAGGGCCAGCCTGGGAAAAAAATTAGGCCCGGGCATTTTTCAATTAGAGCAGCCCCCCAAGAAGGAGGCGGGGCCAGAGAGGGTGTGTTTTGTCATCACTAATGACAAGTACACCCCCTCTGAAAGTGAGTATGTTGGTTCAATGCGCAGAGCCCCGCTGAAGAGCTCTAGCATTAGAAAAAGGCCCTGTATTTGTTCTGCGCAGCGCAAGCAAATGTAATAACATGCTTGCGCTGTGTTTGCTTTTAAATTGGCTCTGGTGTCTCCACAAGTGGGATACCAGAGGACAAAAGGGCCAGGAAAGTGTATGGTGCATGTGTTTGGAGCCTGCTTGTGGGATTGCGTGTGTGTAGAGTGTGGTGTGGTATTGTGTAAATAGGTCAATTTTGTGGTGTAATATGTGTGGCTAGGGGATGTAGCGAGTGTGTGCATACGGGCAGTAGTGTGTGTGTATAGGTGACGTAGTGTCACTTATACACACACACTACTGTGTGTAGAGAGGGTGTGTTTAGAGAATGTTGTATGTGTTTGCTTACAAGGAATGTAGTGTGTGTGTAGGTGGTGCAGTGTGTGTGTTAGAGATCTAGTGTGTAAAGGACCCAGAGTGTGTATAGAAGATTGTGTGTGTGTAGAGGATTAAGAGTGTATATAGGGTAAGGGATCTAGCGTGTATCTGGAGCGTAATGTGTGTAGTGGTGCAGTGTGTGTGTGTATATATATATATATATATATATAATATATTTGGACGTATTGTATGTGTGAGGTGCGCAGCGTGTTTGTGTAAGAGGAGTGCTGTGTGTGAGGGTGTTTTTATCTGCCGTCACATTCTGGGTTTCTACTCCCGGACATTTGCCCGCACCTCAATTGAGGCTACTTTTTGGGGGAATATATATGTGCTGTATATGTGTGGGAGTGAGGGTGCCGTAAAAGGCCTGGGGGGTGCTGCTGTGTGTGTGTGCTCCAGCCTGTGTGTGCCCAAGCTGTGTGTGTCTGTGGGGTGCTGTGTGTGTGCACCAAAGCGTGTGTGTCCGATGCTGCAAAATCTGGGGGTGCACCAGCAAAGGTCGCGCTGTGTGTGTGTGTCCAAAGCGTGTGTGTCTGCTAGCGTCTGGGGCCGTGTCTGGGGAGGCTGTGTGTGTGTCTGGGTGCTGTGTGTGTGTCTGGGGGTGCTGTGTGTGTCTGGGGGGGCTGTTAGGGGAATTATTTTACTTTTTATTTTATTAATAATTATAATATTATAATAATTAATAATAATAATAAAAAAAAATTAAGACCCCATGTTGTCATGCTTCCCTGGTGGTCCAGTGTTGAGAGTGAACTCCAGCCTGCAGGCTAGAGTTCACTCTCGCGAGATCTGAGCGTTGCCGTGGTAATCCCGCGAGAGGACCGGGCGGAGCTGCTGGTTAGAGCTCCGCCGGTTCTCTCTCCTCCCTCCCAACCCAGCCAGCGGCCGCCTGTAACTGCCTGTGGGCAGTTCTCCCCACCGGCCCATAGAGGCACACAGCGGGGCCAGTGCTCGGGTAGCAGGGGCTGGCAGGGGAGATCCTGTGATTCCCCCTGCCGGCCTCGGCCCCACGGCCATCGTGGCCCACCGGGCATTTCCGATGGCCAGTCCGGGCCTGCCTCCCACGATGCCTTGCCAGCATTATAGCTGTAAGAGCATTGTGGGAGATGTAGTCCACAACATCTGCAGTATCGACGGTTACCTACCCCTGGACTAGAGTAACTATTTATATCACAGCAGCATATTAATTTAACCTTTTGCAAGCCACCAGGGTTACAAGATCTTCCTTAGTTTCCTGTGCAGCCTGGGAGTATGTAAACCCCACAGGAGAGAAAAATATGGAATATGGTAACTGAATGAGACAGATCCTTTGTTGGTGGAGTTTCCTCTTTGATTTCTGAATTTGCATTAAATGGTTACTGCATCCAGAAACCAGGATTGATATTAGCTGGCTAATGGCGAAAAGCTGCACATACAGACTCCAGGCACCATGACCACTTCAAATCAAAGCAGTGGTTATGGTTGCAGGAGAATCTCTAACTGCCAGGCAGCACCTTTCCTGTGCTTGCCATCACCATGTAAGATGGCTGTGTGTCCAAACACAATGGCTCTGTCTGCCCACAGTAGTAATGGGTCCCTAAGGCCACTTCCGGGAGGATGACGCGTTGCTACCCATGAGCCTTTGCTCCTGATCTCGGGTTATTACCGCGAGAAAACCCGTGTTTTCCGTTATTGTTTGTTTTAGTCGGCCCGTGATACCGTTACACATTGACGAGTAATAACCGAATAATGTGCAGTTTCGTGAATGACATGCACCGTCCAATCACCCGCACTCTCCCCGGGCGGCCATCTTACCGCTGGGAGGACTAGCGCGGCTGCGGCTGCTCGGTTGCCATGGCGACGGTCGGCCGCAGCAGCAGCAGCCAATGAGCGCTTAGCATGGCGCACCGCGCTGGCCAATCAGCGTGCGAGGAGCGATATTTAAACCGTGGCCCTGCGTGCAGGGGATAGAAGCGGCAGGTACTCTGAGATCGCGGCCTACACCCAGCGCGGACATTTTAACCCGGTTTTATCGCCTGTTTTTACACTTTGTCCGGTTACTACAATGGCAATCCGTCGGGCTGGAGCTCTGGCTGTGAGTATTGAGTGTGTGATCCGCTAGCGGTATGGTCTGTGTTTATATTATAATGTGTCTGTGTGTATCTCATGGAGTATATATCGGGAGGGGGGGGGTTAATGCACTGTTGGTGAGGCAGGCTCGCTTCTAAGGTTAGCGTACCTGATGGTTTAGAGACTCTAACCAAAACAAGCTAAAATTGTATTAGTAAAAACTAGCCACTTGCTTCGCATCCTCCAAGATTAATGTCCCCCCCTCCTCTCCTTTTCCATTTGCTTTGTGAGGTGTAGGCTTAAACTTCCCTGAAGTGTGGTTATAATGTTACCGTCCTGCCCTTAAAGTGACACTAGTCACCAAAGCAGAATGAGGCTGTCTGGGTGTGTAGCCTTCATGCCTCTGCAGTCTTACTGCTCAATCCTCTGCCATTTAGGTGTTAAAAGACTTTGTGCTAGTCACACGTGATCTGCTCTTCCTGTAGTCTCCTAATGTTTATACTAACTGTGTTTATTGCAAAATCTGTTACTGCTACCCCCTGCTCTGCTAATGGCTTGCTAGACCCTGCAGTAGCCTCCTGTATGTTAAATTCAAATTACAGAGCAGTAATACTTCTAAAGCAAATTACATAGAATGTGATGGCTAAGAACATCTCTGGCCATCTAGTCTACTCAAACTTTCTAAATTTCTCTAATCCTTGGCCTTGTATGCCTATCCCATACATGTTCAAGCTCTCTCCCTGTGTTAAAGGGACACTATACTCACCAGAACTACAGCTTAGTGTTTGCATGTAATGACTCTACTCACCAGAAAAGGCAGTGTTTACCTTGTCCCCTAAGGACACCAGGAGGGCACTCCTCAAATGGCCACTGGAGGTGCTGTGCAGTAGGCAGCACTGCTTAATTTTCATCATATAGATGCACTAATTCAATGCTTCTCTGAGGAGATGCTGATTTGCCAAAACAGTGTTTGGTCCTGCTCCTTGCTGATTTTTGCCAATCCAATGCTTCCCTGTTGGACTAGCTAATCAGTAATTCTGATAACACCAAGTGGGTGGGGCCAACACCAGCAGACCTGTGCAGTGCTGGAAATAAGGTGGGGTTTTTTTTTTGTGTTTTTTTTTTAACTTAAGTGGACAAGCCACCTAAATTGTGGGTTTTGCACTATGGGGTCAGGAATACATGCTTATTTCTCACCCTATAGTATTCCTTTAACCTCTACCACTTCAGCTGGAAGGCTAGTCCATGCATCCACTACTCTGTGTAAAGTAATACTTCCTAAAAGTATTCCTAAACCTTTGCCCTTTAATTTAAGACTCCTCTTGTGGGTTTTCTTCTAAATACACTCCTCCAACTGTGATTCTCATATTTAAATGTTTCTATCATATCCCCCTGTCTCGTCTTTCCTCAAAGCTATATCTGTTAAGATCCTTTAACCTTTCCTTGTAAGTTTTTATACTACAATCCATTAACCAGTTTAGTAGCCCTTCTCTGAACGCTCTAAAGCAGGCTGGCCCTCCAGATGTTGCTGAACTACAACTCCCATGATGCTCAGCCTCTCATTCATATAATCATGGGAGTTTTAGTTCGGCAACATCTAGAGGGCTGAAGTTTGGGGAAGCCTGCTCTAAAGTAGCAATATCCTGCTGGAGATATGGTCTCCAGTTCTGCATACAATAATCCACGTGAGGGCTCACAATTGCTGATTGAGTGTGAAATCCTTATTTCCATGCAGGCCGTATCACTCACAGCCAGGGGAGGTGTAACTGGGCTGTATAAAGCGAAACAAAAGCAACTTCACTCCTAAATGGCAGTGAAATGTCATAGCATGATCTCTAACATGTTTTGTTTACTATAGTGTGCCTCTATTTTGGCTTGTAAAATAAAATTTATAAACACTACATCTTTTAAAATGTCTACCTTTAAATGTGGTCTGACTGCATAGTAGTGGCATTCCTTGCCTTTTGGTTTCAGACCAGTTTACTGACAATAACAGGGCATTGTGCTACTGGAGAAAAAATTAAACACCAGAGCATGCACTGCATGATCAGACTCCCTCTTGTTCCCCCACCCCTGATGCCTCGAGTATTGGCCAGGAGAACTTAAAGGGACACTCTAAGCACCAGAACAACTACAGATTAATGGGGGAAAAACTGTCTGCAGGCTTAGAATTGTAAATGCTGCTGTTTACATTGTCACATAGGCACTAGAGGGATTTCCTGGAGCGGTCCAGGAAACTTTGCACTGCTGATGTTCAGTGTCTGCATTAAGATGTCAAATGTATCTAAGAATATGCTGACTGGTGCAATGTTTGCTGTGTGCACACTAGCGCCAGTGCTTCCTCTATGTGGAAGGATTGAAATGATCTGTAATAACAATCAGGGAGACTGAGCTCCAGCTGGAGCATCCATTTAAATGTAAAACTGTAAGTTATATAGCTAATTTATAGTCTGAGCCTGGATCTCGCAACACCTGAAACATCTAAAGTATAACAAACTCGCTTATATTTCTCCTTGCTGTAGAAGTGGCTGTGTTTTACACAAGTTTTGTTGAATTGTACTCAATTTGCATATTGAGCATTTATCCTAGACCCATAGGTAAAGGCCATTATGTGGCTAATAACAGGCACCAAACTTTGGCATTTCTCTGAATCATGTCAGTGACACATGACAATGTGCTACAGACTTATGGCTTTTGTGCATCAGCAACTTGCTTCTCTGGGCTGTAGTCACCATGCCTCTGACTTTAAAGTGGCTCTGATCTAAATCCCTCTCCCCTATTTTCTACTCTCTATGAAGGGTAGAGCTTGCCTTAAGATGTACCCATCTTGTCAGTCTGTTTTGTCTTGTATTAAGAGAAATATGTCATAAGTCATTCAGAAGAGAACAGTAGGAGCAAGGAACACGTGCAGTGAAAGAGCCACTTTAAGCAGTTCCTTGCCTAGCATGCAAAACATGCACCACAAGGCTAATGGAAAAGTCATCTGAAAATGCCAACACATCTGCTGTGACTGAAAAAACCTGTTTAGCCATTTGATATCTAGACATGTGTGATGTTTGCTGCAGTGAATTGACATGCTTCAATTTTATTTTTCTTCTTCCCAGATTTCCCATGAAGCTGATAATGCTTTTGCAGGTGTAGTGAGGGCCAAAACACAGATAAATGGCAAAAGAGCAGCACTGGGAGAGATCGGTAACAAGGTGACAGTGCGTGGAAAGCCAGCAGTCAAGGTATGTTGCATCTCATCTTGGAGAGGAAAACTAACTTACCCTTGTTGATGCTCTAAGTTTCTGGTTCTTGGTTTTTTTAAATTCTGTCTAGACTTCGAATGCTGTAGTGAAGACTTCAAGATCTGTAACCACTAAAGTAGTGACTGTGAAGCCAAAGACTGCTCCTGTTAAACCAGCTGTAGTAGAAGCTCCCCCAAAAGTAAGACCTGTCTAAACTGTATAGTAAGCATGATCATGTGTGCCCAATGTCCCACTGTTAATCACTTAATGCCTTACTAGGAATGTTCTCCCATCACTATGGATGTTTCCATGAAGGAGGAGGAACTGTGTCAAGCATTCTCTGCTGCTCTGAACAAGGTGGAGGATATTGATGCAGAAGATGGTGACAACCCACAGCTCTGCAGTGAATATGTGATGGACATCTACAACTACCTGAGACAACTGGAGGTAAACCAACTTAACACTGCTGAATAAAAGCACTGGAAGCTCACCTAAACAACTCTTGTGAACTGCTGACCTCTAACTTGGTCACTTGCCTTTAATCTGTCTGGGTTTCAAGCTGCAGTAAACAGAGCCCCACTGATTTAACCAATACCAGTGGTGATGTTAAACTGCTGTTGGACTAGATGTATCTCTTGGTTACAGGAGTCCAATGACAATCTGGCTGCTCTTGCTTTAAGCCATCACAAGTAATACCCTATGATTTTATAATCTACACTTGGCATCAGCTCAACTTAAGTCTTCAATGACCACTGTCTGACAGCCTTACAAGGAAAGACAACTTTAGATTAGTCTTGTCTTCAACTACCTGTAGATGGCAATTATATTCTAAAAGCCACCTTTTTATAAAGCATAGCTCATGCATGATCGGTTTAGGGGAGTAAAGTAACTGACTGTAATGTTCACATTTCTAATGGGTCTTTTCCACTGACACTAGATCCAGCAGGCCATACATCCAAGGTACCTTGACGGCAAAGAGGTGAATGAACGCATGCGTTCAATCTTGGTGGACTGGCTTGTCAGTGTTCACTGTAGATTCCAGCTTCTTCAGGAGACCCTGTACATGGGGATTGCAATCATGGACCGCTTCTTACAAGTAAGACCCATACTTTCATGGAAAGTTGTCCAGAGCAAAAAGTGCTGAAACTAAAGGCTCTCACTTCTTTCAAGGTTCAGCCTGTGTCCCGAACCAAACTTCAGCTTGTTGGTGTGACCTCTCTCCTTGTGGCTTCCAAATATGAAGAAATGTACTCGCCAGAGGTTGCTGATTTTGTGTATATAACTGATAATGCCTATACTACATCTCAAATCCGGGAAATGGAAATGATTATACTTCGAGAGCTTCGTTTTGACCTTGGGCGTCCTCTGCCTCTTCATTTTCTGAGACGTGCCTCAAAATCCTGTAGTGTAAGTTGACGTGCATAATCTCACTATGTTTAAGACAATTTGTCTAACTCATCAGTACAACAGGTAACTCAACTTTGTATCAGAACTACTAGAATAGCCTAACTTGGAAGTGGCACTTGGCATTTTTATCTCTTCCTACAAGAGCAGATTAATGCTTGGGGCAAAATCACTCCCACTCTGCATGGACCCCTTAATGAACTATAGTTATAACATAGTCTAACATTTATATGGCATATGTACCTGGTGACAGGTGTGAATCGCATGGGAGTGAAACTGGCATTCCAGAACCCTAACAGTATAGGGAAGATCCCACAATTGCATAAATAAAATAGCTCTCTGCTCTGCACTCCTGCAACTGACAAGTCCTCAATCAAACTAGGTACTGATCACTCCAATCATTCACCTAGCCATTAAGGCTTAATATCTATAGTCTTTTAGTTGGCCTTGAACCAAAGGAATGTTGACACTGTCTTTGCTGCCTCATAACTTTCCCTGTGTAAAAGGGACAAGTCACATTGATATCAAACTTCTTCTTTCTAGGCTGATGCAGAGCAACACACACTTGCCAAATACCTGATGGAGCTTACACTAACTGACTATGACATGGTACACTTCCATCCTTCAGGAATAGCAGCTGCTGCCTTGTGCCTGTCCCAAAAAATCCTTGGTCAAGGAAGCTGGGTAAGTGTTCATGACTGCCATTCCACTTAGTTGAAATTGTAAAATATGCTAAACTCCACCACTGACTCCAATTACTACCTTAAACTATTGAAGATAACATCTTAAGTTATCTCAATCTCACTAGGAGCAATGTTTTAGGCAAGAAATCTAAACATAAAGGCTACCACCCTTATGTATAACTAAACATTGTATAAATCTCTTCCTTGGCATCAACTTTTCTTGATAAACAATCACTTGTCTGATTTAACAGTTCATACCTACCAAACACCTGGTCTTGGCTCAAGTGGAACTTGCACTCTAACTGAAGTTGACTATATATAGCCTGGCTTGCCTTAACTATGTAAACTAAAACTCATGTCTGCAATAAGCCCCACAGAATGCAATGTTTAGTTCTCAACATTTTAACTCTTCTTTCATCCCCACTACTTCAGAGTCCTACCCAACAGCACTATACAGGCTACACAGAAGAAGACTTGCAACTCATAATGCAGCACATGGCTAAGAATGTAGTTAAAGTAAACACCAACAAAACAAAGCATGTGGTAAGTTGTCTGCTTTTTCTCATACTCTTGTTGGACAATGCAGAGTTTAAAAGTAAACTCCTCTATCTACACAATGGACACCATGGCAGGACTAACACCCTAGAATCCAACAGCCAATGTATATGGCAAGTGTTCCAATGCACTAACTAGAGTTACTGATTCATGTAACATTGGAGTGTGGTGCTAGATCAGATTTATCTAGATGCCTGTAGATCAAACTAATATGGGACACTTCTTATACAGGCAATAAGACTAACTCTGCTAAACTTCAAAGGCTGGATCTACAGCAGAGGGAGTACAAGGATTACCTTTTAAATCCAGGTGACGTCTCATCAGTTTATACAGTAAACTCAATCCTGATTAAAATGTTCCTGCTAATAACATCTCAGATCAGCAATTCAAACACCTGAGGATTTGGGAAGGTTAGACAACCTTTAACAATCCAGATGTGAACTAGATCTCCCTTAATTTGCCAACTTTATGGCTGGATGCACTATGGTGGACAGTCCACAACATCTGTAGATCAGGTGTAGGCAACCATAGGTATTAGATGATGGATAGGTTTGCTTGTCTGGACTTATAAATGCTGTTTAACTTTGACACTCTACTCTCTTCAGGCTGTGCGGGACAAGTATGCAAGCAGCAAACTAATGAGGATCAGCACCATTCCTCAGCTAATGTCTTCCCTCATCACAAACCTTGCAAGTCAAGCTTCACACTAATCCTTCCATTGAGCAGCTACAACTCACATTTTGCACTTTTATACAAATGCTGCTGTTCCTGTAAATATGTACTTTTTAACATACTGTAAGCATGAGATGCTGCAGCTTCTGTTGTCTTAAATAAAACGTCAATTTTTTTTTAAATGGAGTGAATCTTATTTAATTGTAGCATTTGGTGTTAAGATGTCTAGCTCCATACCTTGAATATTCATGTCATGAATATGGCTCAACTTCTGACTTTAAAAACTCTAGGTAATCGATTCAAAAAGATGGGCAGACAGTCAATGGCTTAAGAAATTGGGCTTCTAGTTACTCAGTCTTCCCTCTAAAACCAGGAAAATCTGACTCTAAAAAGACCAAATTTTAAGTCTGAGACTTAAAGGGTCACCAGAACTACAGCTTATTGTATTCTGAGTAGGATCTCTACCTTCTGTGGTTTTTTTTTTTTTTTTTTCTCTCTATTAAAAGGCAGTGTTTACATTCCAGCCTTGGAACACCTCCACTGGCCACTCCAAGGCTACTAGACCTGCTGCACAGTGAGCAGGACTTCTATTCACTGTCTCCACTCTCTGCAGACAGTGAAATCTCCTCAGATTCACTGGTTCTCTAGGAGAAGCTGATTGGCCTGGGCCGTGACTTGTGCTGGCTCTGCCAATCCAACTTCTTGGATTATACCCATTCCAGATCTGAGTAGCCACATGCATTAAACCATGTGGCTGGTAAGGTCACCAGAGTTTGTCATCTATATGCAGACAGCAGTTCCTAAGATTACATTTTCTGCACACCTCCTATCCCTAATAAATTCAAGGGCCAGCCTAATTTGGTAAATGGCTGACCTCATTCAGGTATTCTGTTTTGCCAGGAGGGTTAAGAGCTTCAGCTGTCTCATCTGTTCTAATCTCAACCACTACCTGTAATCTTATGATGCAGATGTTTGTACTTAGTTACCAATCTTCAGCCCAAGTAGCAGGTCCATAGTAACTAATTCACTGGGGTGGCCATTCATCTTGCCTAATAATTATATTTAATGGTACTAAATTTTACATCATAGACCTTAACTCCCAAGGTCTCTCCTGTTTGGATTGGTAACAAGGAGGATGGTTTGAGCATACCTAGCACACATGCCCCCACCCAATCTCACAGTAACTCTAAATATGCCTTCTTACCACAAATCCAGTATAAACTTTCTGTGGCTCTATTAGATGTAGCCAATAGATCAAACCATAATAATTCTTAAATTGGTGTAATAAAAGGATTGGTAGGGTCTGAGACACTTGAAGCTCACTACCAGGTAGTATGGCTACTAGCATATGCTTTCTGCCCTAGACAAGTCAACTCACATACATAACTGATTTATGGACTTTTTTTTTTTTTCTTTCCTGTATGGTTGCTTGATTACTGGAGTGGGAAGGCATTTGTCTCAACCAGGATAACATACATCTCCTTGTCTCCCATATTTGAATCTCAACATACAAAGCAGTTATATTAACACTACTTGCAATAATCTCAGCCAGATTGAACAGTGTGGGGATCTTCAATTCATCATAAAAGGAATGGAATACCTGAGTTTGGGCATTCAGGATCTATGCTCAAAGGCATATATGATGGCTCCTGGGTCTGTCGCTGTGCCATATAGCTGAAAACCAGAGATTCCCAAACTTAATAAAGTCCCTATTTGAATAATCAGGGTTTGTGGTTCTATGCTACAGCATAGGCACCTATCACTAAACCCATAGGTTCGTTCCCACTTAAGATTACCACATGTTCCAAAGTTTTTTCCATTACCAGAAACTGCTTTGCATGCATAGAATAGTAGGATGCCTAGGGATGAGGTGGTACTTAATGTGTTAATACATATCAATACTCCCTGAGAATGGGCATTTCAAAGAACCAGACAGATTGTACAGGGTTGGAATGGGGTATCAAAGCACTCGGGTGCGCCTGAAACTGGCTGACACTAATCAGTGTCAAAGTATCTGCATTCTTAGACCAAACTTTTACATTATTAATGCAAGTGCCAAATAAGAGTTTGGGATATTTGGTTACCGGTTTTGATTGTATTGATACAATTATCACAGCCTTGTATGTCATCCCCTTTGCATTCTGTGTATGTGGAAGGCCCGTATTTGTGGGAGGTGTTAGCGTTCCTATAAAAACACTAACCCCCCTTCCTACCTTGACTAGGCTTGTGCTGTTCACTCCTGGCCTACCCGCCTCTCCGTCAGCCGCACTTCTGGTCCCGTCATTCTCTCCACTTTCCCGTCCTTTTGTGCGAACGGCCAAACAACCAAACGCTCAGGTTCGACACTTCAATTCATATTGCTACATGTTTCATGCAAACGAATGCTCAATACAGTGCTTTTTTTTTTTTTTTTCTTCCCCCATCAGTTCGAATTTGCTGCTTTACTCAGGTAACTTACAATATTGCTAAATTAATAGCATGTACTCTTTATGCATGTAAAAACTTCTGTAGCAGGTCTACTATATTGTATTAACATTTAATCTATCTGCCCTTTAAAAAAAAAAAATGCATTAACCAATAGAGCACAATTAAAACACCATAACCACTACAGTGTGCCAGCAGAGCCCTGGTGACTGCTACTGTGAATAGTAAATGTTTTAAAATCTGACTATCTGGTGTCTACCAGCAGCTTCTCCCAACTCTATGCACAAACACTTACTCCCACCAACTCACAGGGTAGGCCCCATGCATCTCTTCCCCCTCCCTCTCCCCCCCTCCCAACCTTATCTGAGTACCCACTAATTCGTAGTAATTTCACAAGAATATATCGTTTGTTACGCATGCATCATATGCCTTGGGACTCATGGCAAGCCATATACCCGTAAAAGTTGAATGTCCTATATACAAGGTAAATGAGTGGTCGTTCTTCTTAGGTCTGTCCCCGCGCTTGGAAAGAATTACACACTGGTTCCACACTTGGTTGTGGTCACTCCCCATAGACACTTTAGAGGTCCCAATCTTCTCCAGTTAGGTACGTACCGTATACTGTAGACCACCAGCAATACTCCTAAACGCCTCACCATTGATCTGTCTGCTCATTTGTCCACAACTCGTACTTAACGCCCTTATATTATCCACATAATGCTCTCTACACTGTCACAGCATATGCAAGTAATTGTGAGGGCAGGTAAACCACATGGCCCCTTTGGGACATTGGTAGGTGTCAGGCTCTATTATGGCCATCAAAACACCCACTTGCTGCTCTCATCTTTCTCAACCAGTTCTTGAAAATAGTCTTGTACTTCCTTATGTCACTTTTTTGTTAATAGTTTAGTTTTTCCATTTTAGTACAAAACACATTAAAGACATAAAAGACACAAGCACAAAATGATTATACAAATATCATCTGAGCGAGTATACTACACCAACAATGTACAGACATACAAATGTCACTTCTATTTCCATTGAGCGAGTTTGTGGATTGTAATATTGTCCTGAATCAAGATATACTACTCTTTGATACATTTAAAGCTATGCTTAGCAATACATAGATTTTAATCGCTCATACCAATGATGGACTATCAAGTGTCTTAATCCATTTATACCAGATTTCATAATTCTGTGTACTAATACAGAGATTGGTTGCTATTCCTCTTTCCATCTTATGTCACTTTAATCACGTTCCAGTTACTAAATAATTCACTTCAAACGGATCTTACAAGGATTCTCTGGATCTGGGGTAGCTTGCCAAGGATCTGCCTCTGGTTTTAACCCTAGAGTGATAAATTCAGGGAGTCACTTCCGCCACCTTTACAAACTTGTCCAAGTTTGTATGTTCTCTTTAGCATTCTGGGGTATGTGTTACTGGCAGAGGCTAACAGGATAAGCCCCAAGCTTTAATTCAATATGTATAAGTGGACTCTTGAGATCAAGTCCTGGAGGATTGTTTTCTGCCCATACTACTGGAATGTCAAGTAATGATCCATCACTCTTTGGATTTATGGTTCATTGCAGAATACAGATGTCATTCTTCTTTTGGCACAAGTACAGCTAATGTGCCTGGTGATTTATTAAACAGCAGGGACGTTGATCCATTGGGTAGACATGTTATCTGTGCTTGAAGCTTTGACAATATATCTCGTCCCATAAGTTGAATTGGACATTCAGGAATATATATATATATATAGGAACTGATGTAGTGTACAAGTACAATTCCTGAGAACCGGTCTAATAACTTTGTAGCGGAGTAGAAGTATTAACTGCAATATCTCCACTGGTAGACTTGATCAGCATTCAAATAAAGTGTAACGTGACAATTCCAATCCCATTCCCCCAACAACTGGACGAAACACAGCTTTGGGAGTCAACTGATTTTTATTGAGCCACAGCTGGCTTTTATAAAATTCCCCATGCAAGGGGTTTCTTTACATTCCAGGGGTTTCCCCCTGGTGGACCTTGTGGAGGACAGGGAACAAGGACACATTTCCCATGATCGTTTTCTGTACTTGGAAGATAATTGCGCAAGAACAATTCTTTAATTACATTATCTCCCAAGTACAAAAATAAAACAATATTTTAAAACATCATAACTCTTTAAATATTAATCAGAACTCCACGAATACTTCATCGAATAGCCAAGATCTGTCGAAATATGGCTCAGATCCGTTCAGTAGAACGAAAGCCATTCGAGTGAAGTTTTAGACCAGTCAGCCATGAGGTGAAGCCCCAAAACAGTTCCATTCGATTGAATGCTTTGACCGGTCTTCTTTTGGGAGTTCTCACAAACAAACTAATGAATGCAAACGTTCACAAACTGGGTAGTTGTGTGTCTGATGGTTGTTTGTTCCGTTTAGTCGAATGCCACTTTCCTAAGACAAAAGAAAATGCACATACGAATTGGATGGAAGTCCAGGGATGTCTGATTTTAGTTCCAAACACAGCTGGGCGTTCGTGCGCAAAGATGGCCACCGCCACATGTTTGTTCATACGAATGGGCGCCACCCATCCGACCATTAAGAACCTTGCAGTTTCGATGTGT